AAAACTCCAGCATCACTAAATCGGCTGGAAAATAACTAAGCAATTAGTACACACTCATCAGCCACAATACTAAAACCCCTTCATGAATATTGTGTAGCTTCCCCTCGTGCTGCCAAAACAACTCTGATCCATCGGTACATGTTCACAGGACTTCAGGAGGTGTCCTGTGGTGTCTGGCACCAGGATGCTCAGCAGCTTATTCTTTGGGTTTTGTGGGTTACAAGGTGGAGCCTACACAGATCGGGCTTGTTAGGGCACATCCCACAGATGCTGTGCTGGGATCTGAGGAGTTTAGAGACCTGGTTCTCGGGCTCTTTTATTACTCCTGGGGCGGAACGTTGCCACAGGACCTATCTTGGGTCCTGGTATTCAATGGTTTACACTTCACTTGTTAGTGTTTTCGATGTTGTGACTCAGAATACAGATGGGAAGATTTAACTCCAGGAGACTATACACTCCAACTGGGGTCACACCTTTGTCCTCAAAAGAACACACTGTGCAGTGCAAGATTCTGAACAATGTCCAAATTTGTAAGACAAATTTCAATTTCAATACGCCATATAAATTACCCAAGAAAGAAAGTTTAAGCTTGGGGAAACTGGGACAAATGCTGGTCTAAAATGTTTCTCACAAGATTTTTTGAAACTGCAAAAGGTTAAAAAACAAAACAAAAAAAAATTCATTTGCCATAAAGGTGTTATGGTTTCAAATGACAAATACATAGAGAATGAAAAGGTGAGAAAAGATCACTGATTTTAAAAACCAGTGACCAAAGTGAATTTTTGACCAACTCTCACGCTGACATTTGATGGTAAATATGTACTGATTGCTTCATCAAGAGCAAGTGAGAAATACTAATATAAGCATCAAAATCCTATGTTAGTGATATCATTACAGTTATATCATAACTTCAGCAGTTAATGTTGAGGGGGAAAGCTGTGTCAACATAAGACTGCTGGCCTGAACATTACCTTTATCCATTTGCCCTCGCCAAGGCAGAATGTTTGGCTCTCGGGCACTGATTAGTACACTGCAATAGCATTACACAAAAGCAAAGCTGCCAAACAATCCTGCAGAGAAAATAGTAAGGAGCAGACAGGAGCTTTCACTAGAACAGACGAGCCATGACAGGAGTCTTGTAATGAACCTACTGACTTCTGAGACACCACATAAAATATTCAGATTCAAATTACTGCTCTGTTGTTTGAGCATCAAAAGTCAGCAACACTTGCATGCATTTTTTCTGTTTAGTGCCTTTTCACACATCTAAAAATACCAACAAAATAAATATGCTATATATATCTGCCAAGCTAATTAAGTTATATTTATAGCCATGGTTTTAAAATAAGTTTCAATAGCAAAGCAAGCAGTTGGAGTTCGTTAGATTTAAGCAGTAGAATGAGGGCAGTGTTATCACAAATGGCTGCTTTGTGCAACGTGAAAAATGAGCTTTTTCTTCAACAGTCTCGAGGGAGGAGGCCAGTGACCTTCACAATTTTCCCCCAAAGCTGCAGCCACTACATGGAGGGGCAACCATGGGGGCAATGAAGGGAGACGCCGGTCCTCGTGAGCACAGGGGGTCTGAGTCTACCTGAACAGACCACAAGGAAACCCTTCATGAACCACCCTCCCCTCTCTTATTTACACTTACAAACACATACACACATGTATCCAGACGCGCACCCCCCCACACACACACACACTCATGTACAATGGATGCTTATGCAGCACACTAATATGTAATTAAACAGAAATATATAAAATATGAGCATGTGCAAAGGTACCTTAACTAATCACGAGTTTGTAAATTTAGCCCAGTTCCCCCTGCGGTTTTCAATGTAGTACATGCAAAGGTGTTTCAATCGTGCTACACTGTTTGTTTGTTCAGCCTCAAAAGGCTTTCCCTGCTGGAAAAAGTAGTGCTGCACTGATGTTTACTGTAACCATATTCCATTTCAAATGCATGTAGCTTTTTGCAGTCAATGCTCTAGTGTGGCTGACCCTCTTGATCTCATCTCCAGACAAAATTGCATAAATTTACCAACTCCTGTCAAAGCTGCCTTAACATCTGTCTTAACATCCCACATGTCAGGTAGGAAACACGGCATGTGTCGGAAACAGTAAACGCTTTCTGTACAAAAAAGTAGTTAGAAATATTAAGCAATGAGGCGTGAGTCACAATGGTAACACATATTGACAATAACATAATAATTAAGTATAGAAGATGATATGGGTCAGCAGTACTTACCTTGTTGAAATCACCTGTGGATTCCATTTAGCCTGTTATCTAACTTTTGTTGACATCTTAGTTTTTTCCCTCCCTTTGCAGAACAAACATTCAGCTAGAATAGCATGGGTACTACGAATGCTAAAAATGTAAATAATGTTCCACAGCTTGACCTTGGCCTGAGAATGTGTTGCTGCCTTGTGTCACTCGTACCCTGTCTGTGAGACTGGTCTGTTTGACTAGCGGCCGGTCACGGTCCATCTGGCTGGGAGACAGCTGCTCCCTCAGGGCCCTGCTCTCCTCCAGCTCTGTGACCTCAGAGCGCTCACCTTGGATCAGGAAACAGAACACGCTTACAGAAGTGTCAATCTTACCACATGGGATATACATTAATAACTGATATGTACCAAGACAGAGTTATTTGGATTCAGCTTTTTTGTGTGGGCATTACAGTTAAAACACCTTCCTACCAGTGGATGGCTCAGCCAGATTGTGCATGATTATCTGGCGGATCCGAGTGGAGACAGGCGTAGTGGTGGCTCCGGATTCTTGTCCATCACCTTGAAGCGTCAGACTTCTCTCTCCTGAGCTGCCATCAGATTGAAGCAGAGACTCCTCCAACTTCTAAAATCACACCAATCATCCAGACATCTCACTAAGCGGAGCACAAAAGGCCCAACACACTGAGGTTAGATTATGATGGAAGAATAAATATTCAAATCTTAGACTTAAAGGACTAGTGTGCAGGATTTAGTGGCACCACAAAAAGGCCTGTTAACTCCAGATCTTTGGCATTTTTGGACCAATGGGATGTGTATCTGCATGCCTGCATCATGGCTCCACATGGAAAAGAATTGCTACAGGAATTGAAAAATCTGATTGTGTGACATCACAAAGATGGAATGACAGATACAGGTCGATTGATGAACAACTAGCACACATATACCGCAGTATTCAGGAGGTATGGAATGAGCCATAGTACCACTAATCACAGCTGCAGTGATCATCCACCTAAAATGACACCACTGACAGTGTGCTACCTGCACAATCTAGCTCTGTAAAACAGACAGGCAAGTCATATTTGGCCCAGGCCTATCAGAGTTTCAGTGATAGCTCAGACAGTGTGAGGGACATTGTATAATGTTAACCTCTATAGACAGCATCCTAGAGAAAAAAAAAAAAACTTGGTGTTCTTTGGCACAAATCTACAAGATGACACATTTTTTAAAGTGTATAAAAAGAAGTCTCCTGAAAATTGGGCACACTGTGGTCGGATGAAACCAAGCTAAATTTGTTTGATTTAGACAGAGTCCAGCACAGTGAATGCATAATCCTGAGAGTGAAACATGGAGGTAGGACTGTCATGATACAGAGCTACATGAGAGCAAAAGGTGTTGGTGAAATGACATTTAAAGATGGTATCATGAATGCCTGTGGCAGTACCAAAATACTGGCTGGCAAGATGACTTCCATTCTGCAGATGCTTGGCTTAATAGAAATATTCCAGCATGACAACAATCTAAAACACGGTGCCAAAAACACACCAGAGTTTCTAAAAAGGAAAAAAAGTGAAAACTGTGGCAAACATTGTGGTTTAGACAATACTCAGATTTAAATGGTGGTAATGAACAAAATTTTGTTGCATTGAGTTCCTACTGTGGAGCCAGTAGTTCCAATTTTGTAAATCCAAAGAAAAGATGAGATAAAACTTTAGTAATCCCACGGCGAGGAAAACTACAGTGTCACAGCAGCAAAGGGGATAGTGCAAAAATTCAGAACATCAGTCAAAAAAAATTAAGCAAGACATATGCTGGGCACTTTTGACATGAGTATCACTGTACTACACAAATTCTTTCATATATAGAAATTCTGATATTGCACAAACTCTTCCGTGAGGAAATACTAATTTTGCACACATTAGTGTGTATGTCAATAGTTTTTCATTTTGCACAAGAACAAATTCTCTGTTGTTATTTTTTTAACTTAGACTAATGCAGCTACAGTGTTGAATGCAGATTGTATTGAACCATACGTTTGATGTGCACTCACTTCTCTTGTTTACAATAAAATACAGTATAAAACAGTATAATAGCATAACAGTGACTTTACTTGACTTTCTAATAGGAAAAAATTCACAGACACTTTTATAATTAGTGTAGAATTCGGCCATTTTTTGTACATTTCCGCCTGTGCTGTTTCTGCTATGTTACAACAGTATAAAACAGTTGTGTTACCAACCTGAATCACAGCCTCCAGTCCAGGTGAGCGACCACCTTCCTCCCGTTGAGAGCTCATTGCAAAACTGTCCTAGCTGTAACAATAAAATGTTTTGCCCTAGTATTAAACCTCCAACAGCTACGAGACAGAACACTGCCAACGTTAGCTAGCGTTTAGTTTGCTATATGCTAATAAACAGAAAGCGGTTAAAGGTTGAGTCAAACAAAGCAAAAACATGTAACGACACGAAGTAAAAACATAAAGTATATTAAATTCAGTTGCTACCTGCACAAAGAAAACGCTTAAGAGTTGAGAAAATAAATCACTGACAGAAGTTTGAAGGGAAAAAACTTTAGGAGCGACAGCAGCCATGTAGCCCCGATACGATCTCAGTCAATGTTGCTATGGTGACTACGCGCTTCCGGCCCGTTGCCACGGAAACAGAATGCTGGCTTGGGCGTTGCCATGGCAGAGCAGACGCCCCGAGCCAAGCTGCTGGATTCCGATGGGTTAATGATCAATACAATAGAACTAAACAGTGCTTTCTCAGGAAGGATTTACATCAGTTGACTGCTTTATTCGTAATTGAAGCATTTTCAACCAATACAACAATAACAATAACTACTAATAATAACATTAACAATAACCACATAAACTATTTCTACAAAGATTTAATGATTCACACGTCCCATACAATAGCACAAAAGGAATTCCAATCTCAAACACATGATACAAAGTATAAATAAGCAGCCAAGCACAGCCCTAAAAAAAACATCCAAGAATACCTGAGGATCATGTAACACACTATTCTAGGACACAATGACATCCCGGGATAAACATTGCATTTGCATTCTATCATAGATACATGTCTCCTTGAACTCTTTGATCTTGAGTTTAGTCTTAATGGGACACAAGGCTGCTATGTTTGCTCTGTATGAAAAACCTCAGGCCAGTGGGATGGATCGAGGAAGATGGTGCAGACACCACTGTAGAACCAAAGTCTCGGAAGGAAGCACTCCACGTCCCAAGTGTTGGATGCTCGGTTGTAAACCTCTACCTCAACCCCGTAGTCCCCCTCCATACCTTTCCAATGACCTCCAGTGACAAACAACTTCCCATCCAAGGAGACAAGGCCACCGTTCTCGTGGAGCATGTGAAGAAGCTGGACCTGAAGAAAGGGTAAAGGTGAAGGTCAAATTAAAGTGCATAAAGCTAGTGCAGATGATTGTGTTAATATGCTTGCAGTCTGCAGTGATTTCTAAGCCCACCTTCTGCCACATGTTTGCATGTGGATCATATGAGTAGACTTTCTTGGTGTTGTCAGCAACCAGATAAATAGTCCCGTCCACACAGACGGAACGAGGAGAGGACAAATACTTAGGTATGAAGGGTGAACATATGCTGATCCAGTTATCTACGTATAAAAAAAAAAAAAACAAATATATTCATGAGCATTCATACTGAATTATATATCTGGGTTGGATTCTGTGAAAAGGGATGGAAACAAAAAGAATGGCACTTAAACCAGTGACTCTATCATGGTTCAACAGAATGACATGATAAAATTCTTTAACTGCAATTGAGGTGGAACAAACAAAACCGCTTTAACCGCAAAAGTTCATCACTAATGGTAAACATTCAATATCACCAGTGTAGATTTTAAGGAGAATCACAGGGATGCATCCTCCTCCATATTGAGAGAACATGCATTTGTCCACTATATATTATGGCAGACAAGAAGCAAATTGTTGCATAAAATTCACCAAAATACAGGAAATTAAGTGTTTTGATGCCCCCACTTAATGCCTGTCAAACAAAGTTTTAAGTTATCCTAAATTCTGACACTAGTCAGTCTGAAGTGTCAATTTGTGGCCCTCTATATCCTAATATACACACGTGGACAAAATTGTTGGTGCCCCTCGGATAATGAAAGAAAAACCCACAATGGTCACAGAAATAACTTGAATCTGACAAAAGTAATAATAAATAAAAATTCTATGAAAATTAACCAATGAAAATCAGATATTGCTTTTGAACTGTGGTTTAACAGAATTATTTTTTAAAAAGTGTGGTACACACCATGTTACCAAACAGCACAGTGACCACTTGTAACCCTATAAATAGGCCGACTGACTGATTACAAGTTTGTAGACACCTGTGATGTCTACAAGTCTAATTAGAGGACACACCTTGATTGAACATGTCCCTATGGTCACATTATTTCTAGGGATACCATCATTTTTGTCCAGGCCTGTTTCATGAGTTTATTTTTTAAATAATTCTGTCAAACCACAGTTCAAAAGCAATGTCTGATTTTCACTGGTTAATTTTCATAGAATTTTTATTTATTATTGCTTTTGTCAGATTCGTTATTTCTGTGACCATTGTGGGTTTTTCTTTCATTAACCGAGGGGTACCAACAATTTTGTCCATGTGTGTAGTTACTAAACACGACTAACAATCAGCCCTGAAAAAACACACCAGTTAACCCCATATTAAAGAGCACAGAAGGAACAAAGAATTGTGTAAGAGCTTGACAGAGCTAAACTGGCATTTTTCAAAAGTATCTCACTGGAAAGGGAACTGCTAATGAATCCAACAATAGGGCAGCAGGCATTATGGAAATATTGTGTAAATTTCACAAACAGTTGTATTTTTGTTGTATTTAATTCTGTGAATCTGTTTGCCATTTCGGATTTTTAAAAAGGAGTTGACGGAATTTTAGAGTTTCTATCTGACAGCATTGATTTGGTGCTGCAGCATCCTTACCAATGACAGGGTTGTAGCACTGCATTGCCAGTGCGTTGTACTTCACTGCACATGACCCAATCACATAGAGCTTCCCGTAACAAGCAGTGGCAGTGAAGTTAGTCACATATTTTAAGGCGGGGCATGTCAAGGCCCAGGTGTCGTTGTAAGGGTCATAGTGTTCAACCTCAACTCGATCCAGCGTTGTTCCTAAAGGGGAAAAATTAAGTTGGATAATGTCATCATTAACGTTAAATATTCATATTTAAAAGGAGTTGCAGCGGCTTGCATTAAATATATGCACCTTCCTAAAAACTATCACCTCAGAGGACCAGAGGTGAGCAACTCAAGAGCAGCTGAGCACTTGGAGTTTATCCACAGCGCTGCAGGGTTAGGGCACCACATTCAAAAGTGATATTTATTTTCTTACCTCCGATGACGTAAATCTCCCCGTTCAGAGTTGCTGACGTGTGGTTAGTCCGAGGCCGGAGCATGGGTGCCACAGTAACCCACCTCCCCTCTCTTGTGATGTACTTCCAGGTCTCTGTGGTCGACCAGGTGTTGGTATTCGAACCTCGCGAGCCCCCTGTCAGAAAGACAAAAGCACTTTGTCAGAACTCTGATATTATGTTACATTCCTCACAATCGCTGGAGCTCCATTCAGAGCTGTTTCTTTACTATTTGCCTTTAAAGTTTTTCTGTTCAAAAGTGGTGAAGACAGGTGTCTCACCTGTGACATACACTTCGTTGTTTAAGGAGACCATGGAGTAACCCCACTTGTTGGCATTGGGGAAATTAGGGAGTTCGTGCCACTGTTCTGTAGAGAAAAGCAAAGGAGACTTAATGTTGAAAGTCACTGAGACAATGAGGCAAACTATCTCACAAATACAGTATTCAAATGACAAATGTATACGAGAAAAATCCGGCAAATATGCAAAAATCCTCAAGGCCCATTTAAGTGTAAATAAGTCAGTCGGGTTATTGCTTGTTGGCCTGAAATATAACTTTTCTGGCAGATCTTCAACTTCTGGCCGGAGCTGTCATGCCTCCACATAAAACCAGAAATCCTAAAATGGGATGCAACAATCTTTTCCTTAACATCCCATGTGAAAAACATAACATGGATGCCTTCCTCCAGCCTGCACAATAAAACGCTTATTTGAGGAACTGAGATGATGATCCAATTTTGTCACATCCAGACCACATTTCTGCAGAGCCATTTTTCTGTCAACGCTGCATTTAACGATCTGCAACATCTGCCAAACTGTTTTGAGGAATCACACAGACATTCCCAACAAATTTGGAGATTACAATGGAACCTGAACTTGAATTTCTGATAGGGGAAATAATATTTTTATTACTAGTCTTTGTGTTGTAGAAGGCACAGTTCCTGGACAGCAGCCGCTGAAGTCTTGGGTCTCTGTCCTCGTCCTCATCTGAATCGTCTTCATCATCTGAATCATCCAGAGATCGACCTCCCATTACAAAGAGCACTTCTTGCAGGTTTGGTTGTGGACTCTGAGAGTTGAGTCTGTCCAGATATTCTGGTGCCAAATCCATTTTCTAAAAAAGTGAAAGTGATGATTGTTTTTGGAAAATTTACTCAATTTAAGCAAACAAAGACAAAACACAAAGAAATGTGAACTGCCTCACCTCTTTGTGAATTTTTTCCACAGCCTCCCTGCAGCTGGGAGAGGCCTGAAGCAGACTGTCCTTCAGCAGAGTGTCAGCCAGGTAGTCCAGGCTGAGCAGAAAGAGACGAGACAAGGTGAGGAGCTCAGCAAGGTGGCAGAGTCGAGACTCTTTGTGGTGCCGAACCCATTTCAGGATGGCCTCCACACGAGTGCACTCTGACCGGATTTGTAGTCCTTCGTCAGACAGGCAGGCGACCAGTCTGTCTTTTCCCAAAAACAGAAACTCCTCACCTTGTTGAACAGCCTCGAAGTTCTCTAGGAGGAAGGCCCATGCTTTGGCCACCACCTCGGGGCAACCGTGAAGCTCCCCAAACTCCAGGATTCCCAGGCAGTTGGTGGCGTCAATCTGGTGCTGGAGGTATCGGCTGCACACGGTTCGCACTGTCTGAAACTGCAGCTGGCTGGAGGTGCAGATCAGCCCCTCCACATTGCTCTGGTTGATGGTCAGTTTTCCTGTGTAGGCGAAGTCGAGCAAGCAGCTGAGTATATCGGGGTCGACGTCGTGAAGCTCCACTCGTGCAGCTATGCTCTCCACAAAGTCCCCTGAGAACATGCAACGGAAGTACATGCTGCAGAGGGCCAGCACGCCGCGGTGACAGGGGAAATCTCGACCGCCGGCGCTTAGTGTTACATCAACAAGTTTGGGGTGAGAGCAGAGTGAACGCAAACCCTCCAGGATGCTCTGAGGATGGGAGGACAGGCAGAAGTCCAGATCATCCACATTGCGCACCATGATGAACTTCAGTTAAAAATATGGGTTGAATCTTCTTTGAGGAAGGACGGTCAACAACTTCAGCACTTACCTAAAAGTATAAAATAAATGTATAAATACAAAGGAATAATTATTAAAACTTATCTAAACCAGGGTTGAACAACTGATTGATTTCAAATGAAAATCACATTTTGAAACAATGCAAGCAGCAAATCGCACAAGCTGCAATTTATGATATCCATCTGTTGGCCATTGACCCTTCATGTTTGACAGCCATGCTTTTAATAGTATCTAACATGACAATGCTCCATTGCATGCTTTAAATCTGTGACACAGTAAATATTGACCTTAACCTTGACTTTAAAACATCATATCACAGATCAAATTTTAATATGTCAAAAAAATTTAGTTAGAAATTTGTACAAACTCTAAACAAGTATTTTTCACAAAAAAATCTGCAATCATTTCACCATAAAGTCTAATCTCCTATTCCAAACATTAAAAATCAAGCCCCTCTGATAGTAAATCTTACTTGAAAAATACATTTTAAGCAGCATGTCGATAAAAACATACAGAACAACATGTGATCTGTGTGAACAGTTTGTTATTTATGACTTAGAGAACAGTGGTAAAAGCCAAGGCTGACCAGTCACTCTTATTAAAGAAAATGCCATATCTTTCTAATTGTGGCATCGCTGTATGTTGTTACGAGAACCACAAAGCACTTTTGGCTCTCCACTGGTATAAATCTAATGTTTCCTCAGGCCAACAATAAATTACATTTCCTGTCATCAAATACTGTTAAATTAACCAAAGAATCAACAAGAAAAAACTCACCACAGAGGCACAGAGTGGAAATAATGGCTCATCCTTCCAGTAAAACAAGTTGATTGTCGCGGCTGCTTAGATCAACATGGAGTGAGCAGCATGGTTGGAAGCTTCTGCCAAGTCATTGGGGTGGACTGCATGTCGTTCACGTAGTTATTTTTAGGTCTGACAGTGACGCTGTGCTAAAGTCAGATTCCAAACAACATGTATGGGACCCACAGCTGCTGTTACAGGCACATATTTTGGATTTTCTCAAACAGGCCCTGAAACTCACAAAGGAGATAAACAAAGTAGCACCAAAAATTCTGAATGTAATTAATGATAAACCAATTAATAGTAATGCTATGATTAGTTGCTGTTTGTTTAATAGGGCTTATGGTGTGTAAACTTGATTTAATGTGTTTTTTTTAAAAAAGTAATTAACTAAATATGGTGTGATATCATTGGAATGACCCTTCAGAATATGCTAATAATGAAATAATCAAGATCTGTACAGTCATTTATTTTCAAATAATTGGTTCACTTTCTGCCAGATTAAGGATCCTAGGTTGTGTTGGAAATATTTGACATAAAATCCTTTCTTACAAAAGGAGCATCAAAACAAAGATGTTAACTCTGAGGAAAATACACTTTAAGCACTCTCTTTTGTAATGCTGCTGGGTATGGTTTCAAATTTGTTGATGCTATCGCCAGTGTGATACCCGAGTTTTAACATCAGTGCCAAAATATCTCCATATCCCATTACTACAAACAAGCTTTTTTTACACCAATTTTTTTAAAACCTTAACAAAAAAGTCCAAACTTCTGCAATTCTGTGATGTTTAATGAAACACAATAACAGAAAATTGTATAAAATTAACAAAATTATAATTAAAATCAGGCAAAATTAAATCAAAATAAAAAGTAAACAAGACTAAGAATCTGGCTAAGCTTTGTAAGCCAACTATGACAACCAACAGTTCAATTCACAATTCACAAGGTTCTCAGGTTTGATACCCAGCCCTTACGTCATCCAACTATAAAGCATACAAAAATATCTTAAAAAATGACATAAGCCACTACTCAAAATCAAAAATCTCTGCCTCCTTCTCTTTCCAAAAAGCAAAACTACGATCGATATATTTGCAAATTTCCTCATTGCTGAAACTGGAAATGTCAGTTCCTCTGTAGAGCATCCCCTCATCAGGTGTAGGTGTCTGCACAATGACTTTAGGGACCCGTCTAACCTCTGGGAGGCTGTGTTTCACCACATCCACAGTGCTTTCAGACGGGCTCATGGTGTTTCCAAAGAACTTTACTTTAATGTCCTCGAAGCCGTCCTTCCACTCGCGGTTTCCAGCCTCGATGTCCTGTATGACGGCCTTGTGGAAGTCCCTGACCATCTCCCAGGGGAAGCTCCCCACGTGGTCGAACACCTCAAAACACAGCAGGTGCCTCATTTTGCGTTCGTCCACAGGCAGCTCCAGCTCCAGGATGTGGAAATAGCCAAGCATGAAGAGATCCAGGGTCAGGTTGTCGTACTCCACGGGGACGCCATCCAGCCGAGGCAAGAACTGCTCTGGAGAGTAGAGGGCCTGCTGCTTGTGGAGCCTGAGGATGATACCGCAAGGTTGTACAAGACACAGCTATTTTTATTATCTATGAATCTGTCAAATGATGTTTGTTTTCTGACTAAAACTTCAAAACCCAAAGATTCAGTACTTACAATTATATAAATGAAATAAAAAAAAAACAAAACATAACAGCAAATTGTCACAATACAGAAGTCAGATATTTGGCATTTCCAGTCAAACTACCCTGCTAAACCAGATCAGAATCAGAATCAGAAATACTTTTTTGATCCCCTAGGGGAAATTGCTTTCTGTTACAGATGCTCCCATTACTTTAGAATTAAGTAGTACAAACTGCTGAATAATGTAGGACTGACCCAGAACCTGCAGCCAAAAGAAAGGAACAAAAGGCTGAATGTACAGTGTGATGTCTCAAGTAGGTGGATATCCTGAGCAGAATCATGAAACTTTAGACATTACAGTCTAATGTGTACTTATCCTTGGAGGTTTAAATTGCAATTATCTGAAGAGTTTTATCAACAACTTTAAAAGCCTAACTTTAGCAACATTTCCAGATTTTTAATCAATTGTGGGTTACATAAAAAATTTGACTATACAATATAAGTTCTTGCCTGCATTAGCAAAAAATGCCATTAAGCAACTATTTAGTCTGCAGGAATTAGCTGAAAAAAAATTCAGACACTGTCTAGTTCCACCACTTTGTCAAAGCACTGCTGGCATGGCTAGCATGGAACACAGCTTTCATTCTAATCAAAGTGAGATAATCCCAAGTTTAGGAAATGTATTTCAAAGTTTTTACTTTTTTCAATGAGGGCACAGTAAAAATACATTAGAAAAATAGGATTTACCACCTGCTGGTGAAGTTGACCACCTACTAAGAGCAGATTCCTACCTGCGTATCTGTCTGGAAGGAACACTGGAGATCATGTTCCTCCAGTTTCCCAGCATCTTGTTGACAGCACTCCTCTGCTTAAAGAAATGTCCCAGGGAGCTGTTCATCATCTTTGACTGGGCATTCTCCAAGTTGCCCCCAGAGTCTGATTTGTCACCCATATCTGAATTTCCGCCGCTCATCTTCCTCTCTGCTGCATCTTTGCTCTTCAGTGTTACAGTGTAGGCAGATTTCTTCCAGTGGCCCAAGAACAGAACAACGATACGCTCCTTTCTGAGACTGGTGGTCTCCAGAACATCTGCAACATTTTCATCATAGTCGATGCCAGAGTCACTGTTCTGGTCTGTTTCTAGGGCTGGAGTCAACACTTTAGACTGCCTATCTGAGTTTGGGGCCTCAAGCTGTGTGGAAGAACTTAACAGGACATCCTCCACCGGCTCATCAGACAAAGACGAGTTCTGAGTCTCAAAATTTGACTTCAGAGTCCTCACAGACACTCCAAACTGGTGGATTTCATCCTCTATCCTCTCCCTGCGTCCCCTGGTGGAGTTCTGTCTGTGTGGCGTCTGAGAAAACACGGTGATCAGGTCGGTGTTGGGCATCTTGCAGTAGGGCTGGTCGGTCAGGTTGGTCATGAGCAAGGACATGCTTTTTACGATGCCTGAGATTCGGCCACACCACACAGGTAGGGGAACTTGACTCGTGAAGTTTCTGAACTGGGTGTTGACGGTGATGTTGACGATGGGGGCTGGCAGGATGTGTCTGAGCTCCTCGGCCAGACGAGCTAGCTCCAGCTCGTAGCCTTCACAGTTCCTCTGCATGGAGACGTTGGCAATCTGCTGCTCCAGATAGATGAGATCATCCTCAGTCAGCAGCTCACCAGAGGGCCCCAGGATGGCATTGTGGGCTTGGGAGTACCTCCAGCTCACTTTGGCATATCTGTTCCTGTTTTCCTGTAAAAAAAAAAAAAAAAAAAAAAGGGAAAAAAAAGAGGCAAACAATGGCAGATAAACATGCAGAAGTCATTTTAAAGTCGTTTTAGCATTTCAAATGGGTTTGGCGTGTGAGAAAAAGAGTTATGATACAGTAAAACTGCAACTTAGATCTCATCCAAACCTCAGAAATATGACTTGACTCGCTCATGTGTTCAGTGATTTGTTACGAGCAATTAAAGGTAAATGGTGACTGTATTTCCAAGTGTTTTTCAAATTTTGAGTAATCCAGATTCAGAAAAGCGTTACAAAGTCACAGCACAATTTTTGCTTTTCTCATTATGGCCTGGTTAGGCTCAATAGCTTTTTTTTAGGAGCGGTTTTAATCTAAAGCAGGCTTTACAACATATAACTGACTTTCTAGGGCTGCAATTACTGTGACAATTTTTTTCTTTATCAATTAGTCTGTCAAGTATAACATGTCTAAAGTGAGAAAATGGGGAAAAAAAATCCTCCGTGACAAATTTCTACACCCAAAAGCATGGGTGTAGATTGTGGTTGAACACTGGGGTGGAACACAATACGTGGGGGTCTGGGGGTCCTGTCTGAGGACATTTTGAGTATCAAAACACTTCCTGCATTCTGGCAGGCCAAAGTAGGCCAAAAGTACATATTTCTATATATTTAGATTGCTTGTTTTTCCCAACCAGTCCAAAATCCAAAGTTATTTAGGCTCACAAACCAGAAAAATGTTTTGATCGATTATGCAAAACAATTCACAAGTTACCAAAATAGTTTTATTTCTCTGTCAATTCACTTCACGTACAATTTCACGTGCCCCATCAATTCCAGCGAATTTCCTGGAAACATTTGTGACAATTAAAAACCATTAAAATAAATAGCTGGTATTTCCAAAACATAGGAAAGGCCTACACTGATTGGTGTCAATTATGACAGAGAAATGGATAAAGTGTTAGCTGCTACAAGTAGCTGCTAGTTCAATGCAAGCTTTTAGGAGAAAAATAGGAAATTCAGTTTTAGGTAAGAGGAAAATAGTGGAAAACTGACATCACTGTCGATGAGAGAAATGAATATTAGTGGAATTTGTGAATAGGTAGAAATATGCCTGTAAACACACCTCAAGTATGAGACCACTGGTCAAGGTACACATAACAATTTGAGAGAAAAGCTGAATGTATATGAAGTCAGAATGTCTTCGTATTTGATTGTCCCCCTTTGGCTTTAATGACAGCAGCAGCTGCATGGACTCCACTAGTTTGTACAAATCTTGAAAACCCGTTAGTCCATAAATGCTTAGCAGGTTGAGGTCAGGTGCCTTTGGAGTAAAGCCAGTCAGCACTTCTCAGTCTTCTTTGGTCTTCTTGTCAAAGCTTTGAAGTGTGTTTGGGCTCATTGTTCTGCTGTCGTGTGAATCTTTCTACACAAAGATGCAAATGAGAGGATGGAGCAAGTCTCTGAAGAATGGAGCAGCATGTGTCTCTGTGTGTTTGATCCACTATGGCATCCTTTTCCCTCCTGTTGGTTTCCGTACATACATTAATCTGTTTTACCCAATCCTCCTTTCCCCTCCTAAGAAGTGGTTTAGAGACACTACTTGTCCTCCAAGACATAAGACAGCTTTTCTTCAACAGAACTCTTGCTGATTGAAGTCTTGAATACTTATTGAGTAAATTCTGTGTCTGTGATGAAGCTGCTTTTCTATCTGTATGCAAAGCTTAACGTATTGATCCGCTGAATGTGTGCTCACTTTTGGCTCAGTTTGGGGAGTCTGTGAGGACTCTGAAGTCAATCTGCAGGCTGCTTTTTTGGGTAAAACAAGACCTCCATGCACTGCCTTCTATAAACCTTCAGTCCAGCCATGATTTGATACTGAGAAAGTCCCTCTTTGCTCAGAAAAACAATCTGACTTCTGGTACTTTCACTCAGTTCTGATTCCATGTTTGTCATTGTCTCATTATCGCTCTACCGGGAGAGCAATATTCAGCTAAACACTTGAGGTGCAGCCATATTTCTAAAAGGTAAACACTGGTGATTTTGTTGGAGAAGCCTCAAATGATTTAGTGAAATCCAGTTAAGTGTCATCTCAATGGTGCTTTAATGAAAAGATACCACTCAAGCAAATTACGCTAAATCCTTTGTTTGAAATGCTTTTGTATAAAAGACGAAATAGAGAAATAATATAAAATATTTCTTCTTAATCCTGCATGTGATAACTTTTTGTGTTTTTAAATGTTTTAAGTGTTTTGATTATTTTCTGATTTGCATAAAAAATATTCAGTTCAGTTTCAGATTCAGTTTGAAACACAAAACTAAGCAATTTAAAATTGCAGCTAAAAGCTGCAGATAAATCAACCAAAGTGCAGCATAGATGTTGAATGATTACCAAACAATTTAGTGACTATTTTGCACATACTTACATCACAAAACTGAAATATAACAAGCAGATACTTAATAACTGTAGCATCCCTTTATCAGCATATCTTATTGCAAAATAGATTCTTGGAAATATCATTGTAATTTATAGCTAAATACAGGCACATTTGTACCATATTTTAGGGAAATATTCCAGGACCTTATCTGGAAAATACAAAATCTACAAAATTAAGCATTACTTTTTGATGTGTACTTGAAAGCCAGCAGGTTTTCCTTTAAATCTTTCCTGTATGTCTGTAAGTATTAGTCACATCAGCCTCCGATTCCCCACAATCTCTTTATTCAATCCAGCACATATAGTGCCTTGTGGACTACACAGACTGATACTGAATGTCTCTTTGACTTTGATATTGCAGCAAAAAACTGTTAATGAGATGTATTGCACTTTGCAGGATGACCGAATTCTTGCCTCGATTCACAAACCTGTGCTGCACATCATCACAACAGATTTGTAGGATTTATTTACTGATGCAACCCAGTTGAATCTTTAGAATGACATTACCTTCCTCCTCTGATCCTCCTCATCCAGCAGTCTGGCTTGCAGCTGCCTCACCATGACCTGCCTCTTCCACTCAGCTATGGGCCGGCCCCTCTCGTCATGGGTGGGCACCAGATAGTCAATGTCTGACAGGTTGGCCTCCTCAGTGGGCAGGACCACCATCTTGTTCTACACAAAACATGGGACGGTAGTATTATCAGTGTTTTATCTAAAGAAAGGAAGCTCCTACAAAGGCAGGATGTATGAGATAACAAAAACTAAGCATACTTACTGCTTGTCCAGTAAAGACTCCTGATATTCCAGACTGTTTCAAAGATTTAATGGACTTCATGTCGCCAAGAAGTTTTCTTTCAGCCAGGAGGTTTGCATCAGGCAACGCTATCTTATCAGCAGAGACAGTTTTCTCACTCCCATCGGCCTTGGGTTGATTGAAACCTTTAATAACTGTGATACAAATCATAATGCAGATTAATGAACGCTGACTTTTTTAAACTTTGAGCAATGAGTTAGAGTAAACAGTAAATAAAGTAACCGTACAGAAACTGTGTGATACAGAAATTCTCTCACCAGATGTTGCGATCTGAACCTGCTCTATTCTGTTGACAGCCGTCTTCTGAGGCTGAGCAGGGGACGACGAAGCAGAGGGTGCAGGAGGGGCCTGAGGGTATCTGGCCTGCGGGGACTCTTCACTCTCTGGTTGCTGATTTAGACACAAAGAGGGCACGGCTAGGCTGCTTTAAGCTTAAAAAAAACAACTGTGAAATGATTGGAAAACCTCCTACAAACCCAAACTTTACCTTTAAACTATCCATGTGTATGCTACTGCTGTGACTGTCCATGCATGTGCCACTCAGGCTGCCGTAGTAATCCTCCCTGCTGCGCTGAACTAACACAGCTGGCTTCACCTTCACCTCCTCCTCCAAGGGAGCGATTACCTCGATGGGTTTATCTGCACAGGATGTCTGCAAAAGTCACACACTCACATTTAATACTATACAAGGTAGGGCAGCACCATATGGTTAAAACAAACAAAACAACTCTGACATTGATGCATTTTGCTTTTATGCCACATATGATAGAGTGCAGGAATTTTAATCAGATGACTTGAGTAACTATTTGGAAAAAACAATCATTCTAGAATGATTCAGGTGCTTTTGTAGGAGAGTGCATCTGTATAGAAAAAAAGTTTGAATCTTTCTTATATGCTCTAGCAGTGGCAACGGAATTCCAAATATATATATACATATGTGTTTACAGACACTTTGCACTTCACTTCTCCTGAACTGCTACAGGATGGAACTTCCCATTTTCCAGGATGACATCGCAGCACAATTCCTTTTGTCATGTTTTTTAAGCACACATCAGATGTCAAACCTGGTTTGTCTCTTTACAGGTGACCTCATGCGGATTATTGAGTAAAAAGTTGTATACCTTTGTGTGTTTTCACCACAAAGACAAATTTATCTTAACATGGAAACAAATTTTTCTTTTGTTCTTGTGATTATTTTTTGTGCGATAGCTGTGTGACCAGGTATCGTTATTGTGGCTTCATCTCTGCTTTGTAGTCTTTGAACTCAGTTGGCAGAAGTGCATCAAAACAACCACAGAGGACAGATTTTTTTCCATATTTTTTTAGCACACTCAGCACTGCATGTTTCATATTTGTGACACCATTTTAGGATTTCACTGTCATAACAGACTTTTTTTTGAGTGTTGTACAGAAAAAAAGGCTTTATTTTCCTGTTAATTTGTGTCAAAGACACTCAACACAAGTATATGAGGTAAACAAGTATAAAAGTATGTATTTAGTTGTACCCAAAGTTACAGACAGCCCATTGTAGAACACAGCAGGTTTTAAAAGATTCCAGAAACACATTTTGAGGAAATAACAGAGTGGAACTGGGCAGCATAATCAATCACACTATGGTAAAAATTTGTTTCGTTTGCTCAGGTTAATATGAGATACAGGGAACAGGCCTTTTCTCAGCAACAAAGTGTCTAAAAGTCAAATATATTATGTAGCCAGGGGGTTGGTTTTGTGTTTTGTAGGCTGTCAAAAAAACAACATTCGGGTGTTAATTCTTTAGGCAAACAGTTAAAATGTCTAGACTGAAGTTAACACGTGAAACATTTTAAAGCCTGAAGACATGCACGATGAAAGACAAAGGAACAAAACAAGTACACGGGATAGTAAGCGAGCTGGAATAAGTGGCAGCATTTCACACCGCTCCAGGGAGGATGTAGGATATATGGAAACATTTAGGTTCCCTTTAATGAACCTGCATTGTCCTAATGCACTCCATGCAGAATGCATATCAAATTCAGCTCTCCAAGGACATTATTAGTAACCAAAACATCAAAGGCAGGCCTAATATGCTGCTGCATGCTGTTGTGCTTTATGTCCATGAGGTGGTCCGTGCCATTTCCTCTCACACGGCACTTTGATGTCGAGCAACACGAAATATGCTGTGACACTGCTCAGGCGGAGGAATAAACTTCCCAGAAGTTGTGCAATCCATAAATAGATAAACAACAACGGGGCTGGGAAAAGGGGGAAGGGAGAGCCTGATTCCTTTGTGACCCTTTCTCGTAACAGTTCAATGTCCTAAAAGCTACCATGAACCTTGCGTGTGTGTGTGTTTAATTAGACGCAGTGGCCAGAGAGCATTTGGTTTTCATCAGCACCCCCATCACAATTGCCACGCAGATACAGATAGCCTAACCCTGTTTTTGGCCTGGATCCACTCTCCCTCTGTCGAAGACCACAAAGACCCTGATCACTACAGATTAGGAGCCAAGAGTTAAGAAACAGCTACTCAGTGCTTGTCTCATTGTCGGACATGCAGCACCAGTAATCTGTGGTCCCTGTGGGTCGAGTCATGAGAGAGTTTAAGTATTTCAGAACACCATGTGTATTTAAGAAACATGTCTTGTAATGCTGCGCTCTGGAATCAATCATTAAAACAACCTGCTTCCATGTGAAATATTCACGTTCATGGTGATAAATTGCAATGTGGAATGTATACAGCGAGTGTACATTATACACAGAACACTATAGTGTAAATACATGTCCACTCACATGGTAATATACTCTCAGGTTTCCTCCAAGGAGGTGAATGCTTGTGAGGCTAATAACTGACAGACAAAATGTTGTTTCTAACATTTACAGCATTTTTTGTCTGCATCTGCTGCAGCTAAATAAATGAATAAAAGTATTTGTCTACTTCACAATGGATCATTGTAGCAACTACTAGATCAGAAACCTGTATCTAGAAGCAGTGCTAGATTAAAATAAAAAAGGAAAGAAAACAACGTATAATTTGTACTAATGGACAATGACAAAATGAAGTAAGGTCATGAGCCTGAAGCATTAGTCATGCCTAACCGTAAGAGGCTACAGCTGATCAGAAAATAGGTAAAATGCTGCCAAAACATCTGCCAGCTCAGGCCTCTTGAACAGAACGTACAAAAGTTTCCTTTCATTTCACAAAAATAATTACTCAGCCTGTCCAGTTACATACTACAGCTCAAAGAAAAACACACACCAAAAAAAGAGTAAAAGCAAGCAAAAGCAGATTCAGATTGAAAAGCACTAATAATAGCAGTGAGAGTGATCAGTAGACCAGTTAAAACTCACCACCCTTGACCTTGAGCAGTTCTAGCAGCACACGGCGGCTCGACTTCACTGCACTGTGACGCTCCAGAGGCACCGACTCGTACAGGCAGGTATCCGGAGCGGCTGCTCCCTTCGTGGGGATGTGACGCTATCTTAGGATCACCGACCACTTGTTTGACACCATCATCATCAGCATCTCTGCCTGTGGCCAAGGGCCACCAGGCAATAAACAATAAACTCTGATCGGAGAATGCTGTTAATAATTAAAGGAAAGGATAGGATGGCTGGTAATGTCACTAATGCATGGACAAACCAATGGTCATGTCGTTGCACGCAGGGAGGTATCAGCGGAAGACTAGTCAAAGCACCTGGAAAACAGCTGATTTTTTTTCCACTCAGGACAACTGAATAAATGGAAGAGCTCCCTCACTGAGCATTTTTTCACTTATCATCTCATGTACTCGATATGGTTTCAGAATTGTGACAGTGGAAACACAATGTGACACCGTAAGCTGAACACACGGCTTTGACTGTTAATGTGGAAAAGCTGACAGCAACAAACAAAGAGCCGCGACAAACTGTGAACGTGTTTTCCAGGATTTTATGACTGAAATCATTGACTAATGCCAGTTTGTTCATGAATATTACATTTGCTTCATCAAAGCGACTGCAACTGAAACTAGTTATCACTGTTACGATTATGATGAAGAGATGATTTTGTATAAGAGGTAACTGAAAGGAAGTGATTCGTAACTCTGTAGAATTCTACTGAAAGCAACTAAAAATTGATTCAAAAATGAGACGGACATCTTAAAAAATATATACAAGTACACGCACATGTAGTTGTGTACATCTACATTCACCAGCCACTTTCTTGGGTACATCTGTGTCATTGAATGTAGTCAAACAGAACAGCTCTGCCTTTAATTCTACTTTTACAAAGCTTCTGCATTTTCACTTTTTTCTCCAGTACAACACCAGCGCAACTTTAATGATAAATATAAAGTACAATCGTCACCTTGAAGACAACAGAAACTGAAAATGCAGATGCTTCATATTTGTGGAATTAATGGAAGAGCTCTTCTGTTGGATTTCATCCAATTTTACAGATGCACCAAATAAAGTGATGAGTGAATGCTGCTAAAATTGACTGCAACAGTCCTGCAACAGATCCTACCCTCATGAAAATTATAATGTTCAGCTTTTTAACAAGTGTCTCACAGAAGTGATTCAGCTGCAGGCTCATTTTGGAGGCTGCAGTTGTTGATGCTTTATACTGACTGGTGCTTCAAGTATTATGTCCATTCCATTTATTCTATAACAAGGAAGATGCTCTAAATGACAGACATCTCTCTCTAGAATGCAGTACACTTCAACAGTGGTCACCAAAACTGCAAAATGCACAATATTAGATCTTTGCCAAGACATTATGGCCAATTGTTGGTACCGGTATACACATATCATTTTTCCATCTGATTGCAGAGAACATCAGGTCTCTCCTGTAGTGGATTTATCATATTATGCTCTGAGGTCCTGATGGCCCACTGGTAGGAGCAGATATAAACATAATGTTTTTCAAATGTATATATTCACTGAGCAAAAAAAGGAAAAGTACTTTAACTTTCAAGTAAAACATGCTGCATTTATTTTTATTTAACATTATTAAAGTAACTGTAAACTTCTAGCCTGACAGGTGTTATCGGTCTGTTCATACTGGGCTGATGTCAGTATTTCATTTTAAAGCGTTTATCAGTTGATACTGATGTTGATGTCATCTTACATCCTTAAAAATGACCATAAATCTGAATCTCTGACAACAAAAACTGAACACTGTAACCTTCATGACGGTAGTATTTGTTGCAGGCTGTTGTATTGGTTCCATGTAGGTTTACCTAATAATAATAATAATAATAATAATAATAATAATAATAAACTGACAGAGTGTATGTACGGGCAAAAATGGGAACATTTTTCAGGCAAATGGGAGAAATAGAGTGACTTCTCAGTGAATAAGGAGGGCTCTGTCATTTCTGAATGTGGATAAATTCAATTATCATATGGTCACAAATTTAGCTAACTGAGAAACTTTTAACCCACTTGATTCCCTTATTAAATGGACTAAATTTGCTATAAATAAAAAGCAACAAAAATGTCAAAATGTAACGAGAATTACAGAATTTACAGTTTAGCACATCTCCAATTCCCAAATTCTTTTTGACAGCAGTACAAATCCCAAAGACATTTGGTTCACTGTCATTAAAAAACTAAAAAATGTATCACATCTGATAAGCTTTAACCAGTTAGGTTTTGGCATTTTAGCTTAAAAACAGGTCTAAAGCTATTAATAGATTTGAAAACCTTGGCATCTTTCCCAGATGAATATGTAAGAGGCATCACGCAGTATATGAGTCCATTATATAGATTTCATGGTGCTGTAAAAGATCTCCCAGTCTGTCATAAATATGCAACAGCAGTGCAGCCACACTTTGTAATTCATACAGATCCACTGTCCTGATCTGAGAAAAGATGACGAGTTTAATAAGAATCATAAATTTAGAAAATTTTATTTATGATAACATTAAGAACACAATAAATTCAGTAGATTCCTTTTAGTGAGAAATTTTTTAGTGAGAAAAAGGTATTACAGCATGTGGTTTGTTTCTCATAGCAAAAACCATCTGGATATTAAGACATTTCCATGAAAAACACAGTGACAAAAGGAAACAATATGTTTTCGCTGTTCTAGTATTCTAAAAATACCTAAATTCACAGTATCTTTGGCCTGATCGCTGTGAGTGTGTTTGAAATGTGTGAGAAGTAAACCTCACGCCACACACTGTTTATTTGATTGCAGCTCCTGAGATGCGAGATGAGGGAAGAGTGGTTGACAGCACTGAACGAGTCTGACCTCGTTGCGAGCGATCCAAACATGCGGAGAGGCCAAATACGCAGCTCTCTCCGGTCAATGTCCCAATCCATTCAGGTCACTCCTCGGAAATGAGATTATCTGACTGACACTTTAGAACCGATGAAACCCGTGATCTACGCAGCACTTTACAAACGTGAAACACCACCAGAAATGTAATTAAGCCATGTCTACTTGTACAGCTCATCTCTGGCACAGTGCATTTCAAAGCATCACATAGGCTGTTCTCCAAATATTATGAAGATTTGAGTCAATTCGCTGTTATTTCACTCCCTCTATCTGATCACCTCTTTGTTCATAACAAGCCTCAGTTTGTGTATCCAGGTCATACACTGCCAAGAAACATGATACACTATTCTGTCTGCTACCAACTTTACACAGCATACAGAGGTGACAATCATAGCACTTCCACGTCTCTGGAAAAAAAAAAAAAACATGACACACAATTAAACGTGTGTTTGAAGCCCATGACATCCTGCTCTCCAGGTCCACAGAGGGATAGAATTGCTAGTTCCAGGCATCAGAATGGTGAAAACGCTGAAACTTAAGCTTGTGGATCCCATAACGGGCTCAGCCCCTGGGCCCTCCACCTGAGCCGCTGGAGAGGGGTAACTGATAGGCCCTTAGCTGGCGGCGGCTCCGGCTGCGTCCGACGCCGCAGCGGCCCCTGCGCTAATTAGCTCGCCATTGTTGATGGGAGGATTATTTCTGAAGGGGAGCTCGGCAGCCACGCCTCGCTGCTTCCCTATCATCGTCCTCTTCGATGTATGAGTGCTACTCTCCTCTGCTGACTTATTCATGGCTTCTATTGGCCGACAGCTTTGGTTACTCTGTACATTGCTGTGTACGCTGCGCTATAGTGAAGTGTGATGGAGGACAACAACAACAGGCTTTAAGGTTTAACACGTCTGCTGACAGAGCGCTCCCATAGGCTCTTTCAATTACCCCGATTCTCTGTTTCCTATTTAAAATCAACCCTGCAAGCTCAAATTTCACCATGAGTATTAACTGTAAGCCTCTATACCCAATTATTATGAAAGAAAAACAAATAAAACTGCAGCAGGTTGCACAATAAAAACTGACATTATTAATTTAACCTCATTGACCCCTGATTAGATACCAGCACAAACAAGGCGTTAACCCTAACATATTTAGCAGTCACATTAAGGAGTGCCACACTTTTCACACAAAACAAAAGAGCTAATCTCAGGGAGTCCTCCGTGGCAAACTGAGGACAAACAATCTCCTCCGGCACTCACGCCACCGTCGCCTGTAATGCCTTATTAAACACAAAAGCCTTCATCCTACACTTTCTTAGACCTTTTAAACTGAGAGCAATCAGGCTGAGTGGAGGAGAAGAGCTCAGGAGAATGACAGGCTTGACCTGAATGAAATACATGTAACAAATTAAGAAAATGATTCACCGAGGTTCCAAGATCTTCCAGATGTTTGACCGTGCTCACCCGTTGGAGCTTTGATTCTCATGCCAAGGCAAACAGCTGGGCAGTGACACGAAGAGAGGACGCGAAGCAGGAAAATGTGCAAAACAAAAGACAGTGGAGGTGAGGGAGAGAGCTTACGTTTTTCTCCATGGCACGGAGATATCTGGCACATTCATAGTGTCCGTTGTACTCTGCCAAGTCTGCCGCTGCGAAGCCATCAATGTCTTGATCTGAAGGGTTTGCTTGATTGGCCAACAGGATTTCACAGCACTAAGAGATCAAACGGGATGATATAAGTGGACCAGGAAACAACAATATGTGCAAAATTGTGTTTTATGAATGCAATTAAGTTTATTTAGACAACATACAAGACATAAACAATGACAAGATGTTCACAGGAAAACAACAGGAAGGAAAAGTTACCTCCAGCTCTCCATTCTCTGCAGCATCATGAAGTGGGGTTCCTCCCCAGTAGTCCTTGATGACCTTTGAACCCATGTGAAGCAGCTTCTTCAAGATGCAATAGTGCCCTCTGCTGGCAGCAAAATGCAGAGCAGTAGCTCCCTCTCTGTCCTGGCAGGACACGCTCACATCAGTGCAGGTCACCTGTTAGGAGTTCATGAAATAAAGATCAAGGAAAACAACACTTGTAGGAAACTCTTTTATAGTAATGACACAGACACGTCTCTACTGACCAGCCATACCACCACAGCCTGGTGGCCCATGTGAGCAGCAGCATGCAGGCACGTCATGCCATCATGGGCCCTCAGGTGGACGTCAGCCTCGCAGTCCTTCACAAGGTACTCGGCGACATGCAGGTGTCCTTCCTGGCAGGCCAGGTAGAGTGGGGTCGCACCGATACCTGTCTGGTGGTTCACACACCTATGTTCAAACACACAGCAGCAATGAGGTTCAGTTATTAGTATCAGCCATTAAAATGCTTAAAAACCTGCCGTCAGTATTGGGCCTAATGCCATAATTCTGCCTGAAACTTGCACCAATATGATATGTAGATGATTCTTTTGTTAAATACCATATATATATATTTCAATAAGTGCAACAACAAATAATTTTTGCACATGTTTTTTGGGTTTTTTTTTTTGCCCCCACATATTTTGTTGGCTTTTTTAACATATATAGCAAGCTGGTGAATGTAGATTGTTTTTTTAAAAAAAGCATATAAATAAGCTTGATTTGAATTGATCTGATTCATAGACAACAAGTTTGATAATTTGATAATAGTAATTCTTGAAGAAAAATGTAAACGACTTTTAATTTCCAGTGTTGTAAATATGAAGATCTGATTCTTTTCTCATCTGTCCTATAAGACAACAGACTGTCTTTTAATTGTTGCAGCTCAGCTTGTGGTAACATATACTTATTTTTCACAGTTTTCTAACATTCTACAGATCAAATGATAAATAGATGAACTGAGAAAAGTGCAGTCTATTAATGTATAAGGTGTGTCTCCCCACCCTCCAGCAATTAGAGAGGAATACAAAAAGCAAATAAATGATGGCAGATACTTTTTTTTTACATTAAGCACATTTATTTTTTAAAAAGACTACATTCTGAAAACAATAACTGCAACACATCTATAGACGCATACCAAACTGAAATGTACCTCTCTGTAGACGTCAGTCTCTGGGAATGATCCACTAATAACCCATCTAAAAAGGGATACATAAGTTGAAATCCATCCTGTATCAAACAGCTAAAGTTGCAGGTGATATTTCATACTTTATTTATTATCTATTTCTGTTTATGATTTGGGTCCAACAATCCGGGGCTGCATTTACATTGACGTACCTACTGTAGCTGAACAGTCGCAGAGCTGATATGTGATCGACAGCCGCTCTGCATGTATTATTCACAGGTTACTGATGGTTACATGTGAGGTCTGAAGCCGCCATGCACAATGCAAATTACAGTCAAACTCTCCAGTAACAAGGAGATGAAGCAGGAAGAGCCACATAGCTTTATCTGTTTCTTAGTAAGCGCCACAGTCTCAGGTTTAGGAAATGGTAGGGAGCTGGGATTCATTGGGGAGAGTGGAGGGGCAACGGGGTGTTGCTTTTCACATTACTTAGGTCTTCCTTTTGATGACTGTAACCTAATACCATGATTTCTTTTTTGTTTCATTGCACTTCATTTCAAAATATCTGCAAATGTAATGAAATATGTGTTTGTGTAATAAAACTCAGTTTGCAGTCACACGAGCCTGATAAAGTAAGAGAACAGTAGATGTGTAGGTGGCAGCTGGTTGTTGTCACATTATTCTTTTCACAGTTGGTTTCTGGTTTGAACATACATGTTTGAATTACTCCAATAATACAACTTGCTATTGTGTAGTGTAGAGTACTTTTACAGTGTTTGAGGAGAGTCACGGGTGAGCTGTTGTGCTCGAGGGGTGAGCAAAGAAAGAGGGAGGGACTTCACAGATCCTCACATACAGCGTAGAGTTACATCTAAAACATTTTAAGGCAGGAGGAGATTTTTTTTATGGGGAAAAAACAACAAAAAAAACCCCTTCTAAATGTGTAACTTTAAAACACCAAGATGAGTTATTAGGGGTTTAATCAATGGATAAAGAGGGATTTTAAAGCACCATTTTCCAACAGAAAATTGCCTGCAGATCTGCTTCTTCAACATCTGGTTTAAGGTTACTCAGTGCCACACTATTACACACTATTTTTAACATCAGCACAATAAACATAATCCCCCCCCCCCCCCCACCGGAATCTTTCTGCGTGGAGTTTGCATGTTCTCCCTGTGCAGCATGGGTTCTCTCCGGGTTCTCCAGCTTCCTCCCACACAGTCCAAAAACATGTTGAGGTCAGTTGGTGATTCTAAATTGTCCGTAGGTGTGAATGTGAGTGTGCTTGGTTGTCTGTCTCTAAGTGTAGCCCTGTGATAGACTGGCGACCTGTCCAGGGTGTCCCCTGCCTTCACCCTGAGTCAGCTGGGATAGACTCCAGCCCCCCGCAACCCTTGTGAGGATTAAACGGTGTATAGATAATGGATGGATGGATGGATGGATGGATGGAATCTGTGGTGCACCTGTGGCTGATGAGAATGTTGTGAGTTTGGTCAAAAACCAAAGTATTGAACAAAACAAATACCTGACCAGATGATGGCACTAGAAGAAAGGTCAGAGGATCACAAAAGTTCACAACAGTAGCTGGAAATAACTGTCTTGCGAAGTTGTGAATATTTCTTAAACTTTGATGACAATCCATCTAATAGCTGTAAAGATATTTTGCTGTAAACAACAAAATATCAAATTAATGGTGGCGCTATGAGAAGAACTGTAAGATTTATTGTCGTGGAACCATGTATATCTGTACCTACATTTTATTGCAATCTCTTTGTTAGGTGCTAAAATATCCCTGGACCGACCAACGGACTGGCCGTCAGTGCTACTGCAGCATGGTTGAAGCATCATGGAGGCACCAGGGAAACAGAGGTTGTGAACTCACCGTGGTGCCTCCTGAATGAGTAGTTTTAAGGAGGTGAGGTCTCCGTTGGCAGCAGCATAGTGAGCAGGTACAGCTCCACAGTTTGTCTCCACACCAGCCACTCCCCCAACAGAAAGCAGCCACTTAATGACCTCAACACACCCGAACCGAGCGGCGAGGTGAAGAGCCGTGGCGCCGGCAGCATCTCTGTCCTGCAAACATGACACACTCATTGTAGGTAAACACTCCTGATAATCAACTCAGTCACACAATGGATAAGGTATGAGATTAACAGATTAAATATACATGCCTTTTCCAAAGCTACAATGGAGGTTCTTATGTGGATCACCAATTGAGACATTTTATACTCTCTACAGTAATTAGGATCATTAAAGGTGCTCTTCAATGTTTGTCAGAGTTCTGCAGATCCAATAATAATGGTTGGTAATTATAAGAAACAAGAGATGCAGGTAGACCTAACTGTACAACTAATTACTAAGTTCAGTGAGCGATCCCCTCAAGCATCTGGACATAATTACACTTGCAACATATTAATGGATAAGCAGTAAGTCTGTCTGATGTAACCAGCTGGTAATGCATCAGAAAATGTAGAATACAGTAACTTTTACAAGTGCAGTGATGTAACTGCACTTTGGGGTTGGTCACATGACCACCATCTGAATTTAGACTCTCACACAACAAAGTAGTCAGATCTTTTACACTGAAGTAACACCATGCATTGTAATGTAAAAAATGGTCCATTAGAAGTAAAAGTCCAGAATTGAAAATGTAAAAGTACGAAAGTAGAAACAGAAAATGTATTTACAGTGAAGATAAATAACCACGATAAGAGTTACACTCATCCATGTATTAACAGTAGTTTACTAGTGTAGTTGGAGGGGATGGAGCCAATTTTAAACTATTTTATGTAGGACTGTAACTAATTACTTCCCTCATGATTTCATCTGCTGATAATTTTCTTATTTATTTGATCTGGCATTGGGTTGCAAAACTTATGACTAAAAAAGAAACCTTCCAGTGATTTATTTATTTATATATTTTTTTTACCCTGTTAACATTTCACTCAAGTGTTTTGTTTTCGTTTTTTAATGCTAGAAGCCACATCATAATCAAAATAAGCATTCAGCACCATGTATTTCCACTTTGAAACTGCAGTGTACTGATTAAAAAGTCTCAAAAACACGTATTCAGACCTCCAAAGCAAACTGTAGGAGCCAATCCTGTGAACTTGCAGGATGGGTCTTTCTATATCACTATCAGTTTCTGTATGTGTATTGTCTGTTGCACCACACTGCCTGAAATGGTTTCTTATGAGACAAATGGGGAAACTGTGGACATCCAAATACCCCGTGACAACCTTAACTGACATTTCAGCCTTCAGCATTAGCCAACAGCCTTTGAGGTGGCCTTTTATAGTCACTGGTCAAAGGATTGTCTGTGTGCTGGTCATACTGTCTGATCATTTACAGCCACACCTGACAAGGCTGTGGATTAACTTAATAGTCATCACTTGAAACTTTTTGTGCACAATTGCCAAAATTTAACATATTTCTAGCAATAAGATTTTTAAACTTTAGACTATTTGGATGCTGTGTGTTTTTGTCCAGTGCAATTTAACTTTGATACATAGAGATGAGTTTGGGGGGTTAAATAAATGACTGAAGAGGGGTGATTGAGATTTGATCTGACTAAACTTTGGGATTGTAGAACTTTAGAAAATGTAAGTATCAAAAACAGGCTAAAATAATATTTTCCAAAAAGTAGTGAGGTCTCACATTTGAGAAGCTGGAACCATAAAATGTCATTTTTCATGACATTTTTTATATGAATAATTACGAAATAAAATGTTTTTGGATCCATTTTCTGTCAACAGACATCATTTATTTGCCTTTGCATTTCAGCTCTACTTGACATACAGAAAACTATGTTATATTTTAAATATTTCTGAAGTTTTGCATTTGTTTAATGTGAAAAAAATCACAATAAAAGATTTTACATTAAAGTACAGTACTTGAGTAACTGTACTTCATTACTTTCCACCACTGAGTGAGAAGAAACTGCCAGGAAAGTTGCACATGTGGCATCTTTCCAAGGCATTTGAGCTCTCAGGGTAAGTTTCTCCCTCTCTCTGTATAGAGATTGGTCTCAGTGGATAAACTTACCTCAATGTTGCAGCCTCCTTGGTCCACGAGCCACTGCAGCTCCCGGATGTTGCCAGTAGCTGCTGCATCATGTGCTGGTGTCGCCCTGTTCAAGGCCCTGGGATCAGCCGCCAGTCCCAGCTCGCCTACCAGGAACTGCAGGCAGTCCAGGCGCCCACACCTGGCAGCGTGATGCACCGGCCCAGCACCTTGGGCATCGCTGATGGCCGGGGAGAGGTGACCAGATGACGCCAGATGCCTCAGGGCTGCGAGATCCCCCGCTCGAGCCGCCTGGATGGCCCGATGAAGCACCATCCCTGGCTGCTGTCAGTGGGTTATGGCACACACAGAACGTGCTCCCTGGAGCTCTTTGCATCCCAGCAAGCTACCATTACACTCTCACATGTACAAAACCCCCATACAATAACCAATAAAAAAAAACAAAAAAAAAAAACTCATGCACTCACTGCCTCCTCCTGAGCCAGGAAAGCGACACCCGAGCGGCAGCCAGCTGGCCTGCATGGCTGCTGGGGAGAGAGGAGGGGGTCAGAGCCAGCCAGATAGAAAGGTAATGAAAGACGGGTGGAGGCGCAGCACTCGCGGCCTCCTGCTTGCTCTTTGTGTGGCAGTGACCATATGCTGGCACATGCACCAACGCTTCACTGGAGATGAGGGAGCTGAAGCAGCACGGAAACTTAAGTAATGGGAGAAGTCAGAGCCAAGGCATGGTGGATTACAATGAGTGTTATTTTTTACAACTATTTTAAAGATTGATCAGAGTGCAGGTGACTGAACAGCTGATACATGAGGAATATTTGGATCGACGTAAAATATTTCATGGCTGATTAGAGAAAATCATAAAAGCGTATATACATATTTTATGTCAATAACACTCATAATACATGTCCCCCCGTCTTCAATTAGCTGATGGGCTACTCGCATGACGTGATGGAAGCTGAGTACATTCATGTCTCTATAACATCATCCCCTCAGGTCACTTCAAGTTCTTCTCCTTTATTATTTATATTAAAATTTTCATCCATTTTACATGATCGGTTCATATGAGAATAAACACAGATGGTGCATGTTTTGTTCTGTACATCCTTATTTGACCCACAGGATGACTTTACTTCGTGCAAATGAAAGTCGTCAGTTCATTTCTTCCAGCAGCTGCACGGTTTCCCTCAGGTCCTCCACGACTGCATCCACATCTGCTTTGGTCGTCCCCCTGCCCACGCTCAACCTCAAAGCATTAGCTGCCACCTCTGAGGGGACGCCACAGCTCAGAAGGATATGGGAAGGCCTGATGGACACGTACAGCGTAGAGCATGGGAGTTACGTAACTGCGAACAATGTCGTGTGAGGAAAAAAGAACAACAGGTGAAAAGAGGGAATCTTTTACCGGTTTCCACTGTCTGAGTGGCAGGCGGCACCAACGCTGGCCAGCAGCCTCCTACAGTTGGACAATACCCTCCAGCCTAAAGCAGGAGAGAGAGGGATTAATCATTCAAAGCCTTTGTAGCGTACAAATAGCCCCGTGCAGGTCATGAACTCTCTCTGACAAACATTGGTGTAGGGTTAGAGGACACTGTTTGGACTGGCAGGTCAAAACAGACATAAGACAGAGGCAGAAGAGTCATGACATCACCTTGTAATGTTGGGCCCAGGATGGACACGTTACATGTGTTAGGGAGGATATCAGAGCCGGGGTAATGGCTGTTGAAGCGGATCTTGTCTGTGAAGATGGCCTGAAAAGGAAATGTGCTTAGTCAGCTAATAACATCATCCCTTACAATGTTGATTTTTTTTATTTTTTTATATTCAAAAGTCTGTCTGAAAACTGAACTCACCTGCAGTCGTTCTTCCAAGTACAGTTTAGTACTTTGCATGTGACTCTCATAATCTGATAGATTGGATGTCACCAGTTCTGCTGCCTAACACACAAACACATATAAATGTATAAATACCTATAAAAGCAGCACAATATGACTGGTTCTGTGTCTGAATAAACTATTTGGTGCACTCATCCAGTATTTTATTAAGAACCTCTCGACACCTGCTTATTTAAGCAATTACCCAAACACCAGTGCGATGCATTACACCCTGCAGATACGGATCCATATCAACTATCAGAATCAACAACAAAATTGTAATCTCAGTGCCTGTGGTATAATTGTTGGTGCCAGATGGTCTGATTTGAGTATTTGTGAAGCTGCTGATCTCCAAGGGGTTTTCAAACACAAGAGTTTTCTCAGAATACTGTGAATAACAAAAAAAAAAAAAAACATCCAGCGGTTCTGTGGATCAAAATGCCTTCTTGACGAGAGAGGAGTGGATGGAGCTGTCAGAAAGGCTTAAGTAAATCAGAAAACCACTCTTTGCAACATTGTCGAGCAGAAAAGCATCTCAGACTCGCAAAATGTCGAGCCTCATGGTGGATGGGCTACATCAGCAGAGGACCACACTTGGTTCCACTGCTGTCAGCCAACAGCAGAAATCTGAGGCAGCAGCAGGCACACGTTCATCAATACTGAAGAGCTGAAAACGGAAAAACGTAGCCATGAGCCTCAGCTTAGGCTGCAGGTGGTCGGCTCAGAGTTTAAAGTAAACGGCATGAATCAACTGACCCAACCTCTTTTGAGTCAACAGCCCAGACTGCTGCTGGTGGTCTGATGATGTGAGGCATGTTTGCTTTCTTTGGGCCCCTTAAAGAGCCCATTGACACTAATTTATAATGTTATTGTAAATTATATATGATTTTATTCTTTTGGATCTACTAAAATATGCTTAGTTGCTTTAATGTTAAAAAACACGTTATTTTCCTCATACTCTATCAGGCTGCAGAACCTCTTTTCACCCTCAGTCTGAAACACTCAATTTAAACTATTATCTGGCATGAACACTGGGTTTTACACAAACACCGACATAAAACACTGAAGGAAAGGGATAAGACAAAAAATGCAGAATACTGGCTCTCTAATACCAGTCAATCAAGATTTGAAAGACACAGCTTCGTGAAATGTTGTTGCCCACACTGTGCATCCCTTTATGGCCAAAGTTCACCATCGTCTGTTCACCATGTCACAAGGCAAAACTCCTCTCATGAACATGACAATGAGCTCATCCTTGACGGTACTCTTTCCTTTCAGTCTCACATCAATAACATTACCCGGTCTGCCTACTTCCACCTACGAAGCATCAATCGCCTCCGCCCCTCCCTCACCCCCCACACTGCCGCCATCCTGGTCCACAGTCTCGTCACCTCCCGTCTGGATTACTGCAACTCTCTCCTCTTTGGCCTTCCTCACAAATCACTCCACAAACTTCAACTGGTCCAGAACTCAACTGCCCGCATCATCACAAGAACTGTCTCTATCCACCACATCACCCCTGTCCTCCAACAGCTCCACTGGCTCCTGGTTCAGTTCTGCATTCAGTACAAAATCGTCCTAGTAACCTTCAAGGCAATTCACAACCTCGCCCCCCCATATCTGTCTAACCTCCTCCATGTTCCCATTCCCTCCCGCTCCCTCAGATCCTCTTCCTCCCTACACCTGTCTGTCCCCTCCGCCCGTCTCACCACCATGGGGAGCAGAGCATTTAGCCGCTCTGCTCCCCACCTCTGGAACTCACTACCACCCTCTCTCAGAAACATTGACTCACTCTCTCATTTCAAATCCCAACTCAAAACACACCTGTTCAAAATTGCTTATTCCCTGCTGTGACAATTGCACTGACTGATGAATTTCTTATTGTTGTACACTGTATTATTGTGTATTTTATTGTTGTTTCTTTTATCTTTTGTAAGGTGTCCTTGAGTGACCAGAAAGGCGCCTTTTAAATAAAATGTATTATTATTATTATTATTATTATTCATTGGTCTCCCCAGTCACCAGATCTGATTTCAACAGAGCAATCTGCAATGTAGCAGATTTGCAGAACGAATGCGCAGCTGAAAAATGTAAAAAAATTTTAAAAATTTTAAAAAAGTGATACAATCATGTCAACATGAAGCAGACTCTCAAAGGATTGTTTTCAGTGTTTTGTAGAACCCATGACACCATGTGTTTGATTTTAGAGCAAAGGGAGGCTGTGCTCAGTATTAGCACAGTGTTTATAATTTAAGTGCTTGGGAATGTATTTGTTGTACAATGTTTAATAACTTAATCAATAAAGATTCTGTGGTAAGTAACGTATCGCAAAACATTGAGCTAAAACACATCACCGCATCATGTGACTGGAAAAGCAAAATTATTTTTTAAATGAAGAACTATTCAACTAACTACTGAATGCTTCTCAGTCTACATTCAGTAACATCCCAAGTTACAGGTTAAAAATCTCAATGATTTTCAATTGGCTTAACGGTAAACCTTATCTGCTTTGTAAATGTAACACTTATTGCAGGGCTTCAGTGCGTCCATCATGGTTTCATAATAATGTAATGGAGAAAATTCTGATGTGTACTGACTTACATGAGGGCAGTAAGTTGAAAACCATAAAAAAGCAAGATGGAAAATATGTAACTGGAAAATAACAAACGACATACCATTAATCATATTTATTTATTTTTTTTGAGTTTAAACAGTGCACTGGGTAAAATAAAAGCTTTGGATCCCTTTAGGGCAAACAGTATAAAGGATTTATAAAGTGTAATTAATGACTTTATCATAGGTTCATAAATAATTTACCAAGCTTTATAGTATGGTTTAAATCACTATTAACAACAACATCTTGGTTTGCAGGTTATGAATTAGACCACCTCCCCATTTACTCTTTAAAAAATGTCTAAAGAGGATCTTGACTAAATTTTATACTTAGATTTCTCTACTTGAATGTTTAACAAATAAATAAGGAAAGTGAAAATCTAAAAATTAAAATAAAAAATAAAATTTTTCTGTGACATTTTCATTGACACATATTGTATGTTGGGTAAGAAACATACCTTTCCCAGACCGGCAATCATTGGCGTGTTTTCAGTGCTGTAACATAAGAGGAAGAGAAACTTAAACCTTAATTTTAGATCTGAAGTTCTCTGACAATGCCCACTGTTTGATGTTTACTCTGTATTTTACTAACAGCTCTGTGGGTGACAGAGTGTAGAACATTACCCTGGTCTGAAGTTCCTCTCCTGACCTCCTCCAAACAGCATCGGATGCAGCGGCGTCGTTGTTCCGGGACCGTTCACGTACAAAGCACCAATTCGAGGGGCGTAGAACTAGAAATACAACAAAACCTCTTGGTAACATCTCACTGCCGACTGCCCTGAAGATATTCTACACAGTAGATTCCTGACCTTGTGTCCCACTATGGTGAGGTAATCCACTCCTAGTTCGCTGGCATCCACTCGGATTTTCCCCAGAGCCTGGGCAGCATCAGTGTGGAGCAGGATCCTGAGCCGCTCAGGCCGCTTATTGAGAGATTTTATTCTTTGGCAGATCTCTCGCACTGGCTGACAAGAGGAAACTGTTTAAGCACACAGGGATCATAGACTATACTGTACAAAGTGCAGGATACAAAGCCAGGTTCTTTGGTTTTTACCTTGGAATTCATATTTGATTTACAGCGCATTGGTAAGATATACAGATGGGTGACAAAATAAAGGCAAAACATGAACCCTTGATCCCTTCACTATCCTTTATGCTGTGGGGGGCATTTTTGACATGACTCGGGTCCTCTTGTTCCCCCTTTAGAGGCAAGGATCACTGCAAATCATTACACAGTTGTTCTGGGTGATCACCTTTATCCAGATGATGAAACAATTCTATTCTGAGGGGAGTGGTTTCTTCCAGGATGATCCACAGAGAACAATAGATCAACGGTTTGATGAGTATGACAGTAATTTGAATCACATGTTATGGCCTTCACAATCACCAGATGTCAGCCCAATTGAACACAAAAGGATGAAACCTTGCTAAGACACTTCATGTTAGTTTTTCCTTTTATTTCTCCTCCATCTGTATTAGCTGTAAATGATTGATAAAGCAGTAGATGACTTCCTAGACTCTCTTTCATCAGCAAAAATTAGTCCTTTGAAAACTGGTGCACTGTTCAATTCAGAGATAACAAAAATTTAGTTTCTATATCATTAGTAAAGCAAAAAAATAAATCAGATGAACACAGAAAAAGCCTGTATCTCCTCTTACCATGATGACTCCTGTCTCATTGTTGGCCAACATTACAGAGATGAGACAAGTGTTGGGACGTACTGCAGCAATGACATCATCCACCTCTACCCGGGCTGTCACCTTAGACACGGGCACAAATGTCACATCTGTGGCAAAACAAGTTGAGAAAGGGAGTGAATGTAAGAAACATAAAACCACAATGTGTCCAATAAATGATATCTTTGTCTCATCGTGTAAATGAATAAAAGCTGTAAGGGATGGTCTCCTACCTGCCTTTCCATCCATCTGTAAGCGCTCAGCGACAAGTTTGACTGAGTCATGTTCCACATTAGAGGTGATAATGTGAGGTCGGCCAGTGCATCCGTTCTGGTGTCCTTCACGTTGTTCCGCAGCCCTGCTGCTTTTCCTAAAGTGCTCCACAGCAGTGTGCAGCACCAGGTTATTGGCCTGAAATAAGATTTGTACGCTATAAAAAGCACAATTGTACACATAAAACTATGTCATTCTATACAAAAGTTCTTTTCAGGATCACACGACATTTGGAACCATTCAAAACCAAACAAAGCCTAAGTTACCTCTGTCCCTCCTGATGTGAAAACAATGTCCTCTGCTTTACCTCCAACCATTCTTGCAACGTTCTCTCTGGACTGATTAATAATAGCCTTGGCCTTGGCACCTAGAAACACAAATGATTTATTTTATTAAACAGGAGATGTACCATTGTTTGTTGAAGATTGTGCCATTGAAGCAATGAAACCCTTTTATTCAGCACTCAGAGAAAGCTAAGAGGAACAGGAGTTGAATCTGCAGCTACAGCTTACTTTCCATTCCAATTAAAAATATCAGGATTTATACTTCCTTCACCTGCTATATAGTTGCTACTAGGGTTTCCCCAGGCATCCTGAAGGGCTTCAGAAATGGCCTGAATCACTTCTGGCTCCAGAGGGGTGGTAGCATTGCAATCCATGTAGATCCTGCATTATTTAAAGAAACTTCTCACCACATTTCAAACCTTCATGTACTTAATGTATTACCAAAACATTAAGAGCAATAAAAAAGTGGCTATTAATCAGCCAATATTGCATTCACTTAGGACATCTGATATCCAACTAATACCTCAATTTGAACCTTCTTACCTGTCTACATTCATTTCTGAATAGTGATGAAAGGTATGGTCAGTGAAGGTGTGACCCTTTACCAGGCCGATGCCATCAGATTTGTCAGCCATAATAGTCCTAAAGAGAAACATGTATTATGACTATGTTGACAAATTACAGTCTGAAATAATAAGTACAAATACTAGTACAATCTGAGGTCACTGGATTTTAATCAAAGACTACATAAACACTACATTGCTAAAAAAAAAACAAAAAAAAAAACTCATATCTGTTAACTTTTTGATTCATGAGGTTTGCATTATGCAAAAAGCAGATTTTCAGTTGAAATCATTAAGAAAAACAGCATTTGTATTGCCAGGTTGATAATTTGACCACATCCCCAATTACCCTTCAAAAAAATTGTCTGAAGCAAATATTGGCCATATCCTGTTCATGAACAACTTATGAAGCATTTATGAACAGATGAGCAACAGGTAAGTTATAAACAGGGTCTTAGTTCTATATAAAGACAAGAGTTGTTTAGAATAACAATCTTTAATCTATCCTCCACTAATCTGCAGTAGTCTTTGAATGTGGTGTTCACTAGTTTGGTGCAAAAAAACTTGTATTTTAAAATCAATAACTCTGAATCAAACTGCAAGCGAGCAAGCGTATTGGTGACATGTTAATGATAAATTCATTCATTTTAATAAATGTGTAACCTCTGGACTTTAATAGGTTATATGTGTTAGGAAGTTGTATCACCTGCATCCTCCCTGAAATCTATAACTACCATAAATAAGTGCAAAGTTCAAAAACATTCAATCTTTAATCTAATCTCTCACCTGTAATGTGTGTGACTCTATTCAGACAGACTGAGGAAAAATGTGTTATTAATGTTCTGGTAATGCTATTAGTTCACAATGTGTTTAGGTTCATCTGAAACGGTGGTTGATGGGGCTTTGTGTTCGTTGACTTTAGAATTGATTTTATTGCTTTCCTCACCTAAATTCATTATAATCACTGCATTAGTTACTCCACTAAAATACATCAATAAACTCCTTGTGACAATTACAGCAACTCATATGTGGAGCAATGTGTTTTATGATGTGCTTTTGAGAGCTATAAAACAATCCCACATTACTAAACAGTTGTAGCAGGTGTAACTAAAGGCAAAACAGTGATTGGCAAAAGCAGTGTCGGCTACTGTATACCTATTTCAATAATAAATTAAAAGCTATGTTTGCACTTCATAGACATTTAAAAAACACTTACAGCCAACATTTAGCGCTAACATGCTCATAGTTTCCTCTCCTTAATCAACCCCGTCAGCTAAACTCACATCCACGCTAACAGCAGCAGGCGTGACAAGGATTTACGAATAACTTCCTGGTTACTGACACGTAATATAATTCAGAACACAAGAAAAGTACCGACAGGCACATTAAAACAATCCCTCTCATGGTCTCATCACTGTTCGAGCTAATATTTTGCCAGCTAACGCTAACGTACTGTAGTTAACATTTGTTTACTTTAGCTAAAGCTAGCTACGCTGGCTAACTAACGTTTGCTAACAAGATGACATGTAACTGTTGTTCTTTCATCCACGAGCCTCTGAAACTCAGTTAGATAAACTCTCTGCCTGTATAACAGAGCAGCTTTAAAGTCCTGGCTTTGTGTCTAACCTTGTAAAGTGATGGGAAGACGTCCTGAATGGATTTACTACTGTCTGTGTCAATCATCAGCTAGCTAGTGTAGTTAAGGGTGATGCGCTGCTCATTTACAGGGTTGCCAGATCTCTTAAAGGGAAAACTACAGTTTGAGATTTCATCACACAAAACGGCCAAAGATATTTATACAGTTAGAGTCAAGTGTCATCATATTCATCTTTACTAACTACAATAAAAATGAATAATTCGTAAATGTAAACACTATTCAGAGTTTAAGAGGTTTAACTACTTGGGTTAGTATGAGTTATAGGTATCTACAGGCTGAAATTCTCAGTTTCAAAATCTGCAAATGTCAGGATATTTACCATGTCGAAGAGTATGAAAGATAGTGTAAGTTAGAATCGAGGAAATTAAGCTTTAGATAAATTTAGATAAATAGAAATGCATTAAAATCTGTCTGAAAACAGGTTCTTGCTGACATGGCAACTTTTGATTCTGCTGTCATTGCAACAGCCAGAAGGTCAGATTGCAATACAGAGATGAAGCTTGAAATATGTAAAATACGTGATTTTTCAATTAGTTTTTATATAACAGTCTACTAAATTAAAAGTTATTATGTATACCAGGTTATATATACATATAATATTTGGTCAGAGCTCAGAGAATTCCTGGAAATAACTTTATTTATGCAAAGGACAAAATAAAATCAAGTCTCCAGGAGACAATTCTGAATAAAATGGAAAACAATGCAGTAAGGCTCTCAGGTATTCTGTATTCCTTTCAGATATGTTTTTTTTTCCCCTGTAGATCAAATTTTCTCTCTTAATAATATACCTGCTGATTCAACACACATGAAGGCATTATTTACCCTTCTGTCCCCTTTTGTTTGGGTAAGTCACCTCACAGCACAGTGTACATAAAAAAGAAGAGGAGCCCATTTCTTTGTGTTGCATAATTTCCATGTTTATTTAATATATGACAATGTGTTTAGTGTACACAAACATTTGACGCTAAACTCCAACACTCAGAGACACCGACTTGAACTACTGCCCATTTAAGTTTTTGTAAATGGGTGCAACTTTATAATACACTGTTCACAGCAATCATGTTTATATACAATGCAAAATCACTTGAAGAAAGTAAAGGTAAAGGTGCGAAAATAAAGAAAAAGATTAGACGTGGAAGCACAATGTAAATGATGTTCCTTCAAAGGGGAGGATTTAGAAAAAGTAGATTTCGTGACGGCTGTTAGAGCATGACAGTGAAGGTAGACACTGAAAAAAGAGTGGAAGTGTGACAGTAAGGTAACCTACAGCATTACTCTGTACAAGATGCAATGCCTTACTGGGCCATAGTAAACCATCATCCTCCCATACATAAGTGGACAGATTACTACAGGTTTGTCCCACAACCTCTATATGGTTCATCGATAGTAAAACTACCTACAATCAGTAAGGAACCAGGATCCAGAAGACACGTCAACACAACCATTTCAGCAGAATAAGTATTTTCAAATATTAATATACATTCAGTGTGAAGCTTCTGTGTGACTGCACCAACAAAAATTTGGTTGGCTCGAATGTGATGCACATTAAAAAGGCCCAATGAAAACAAGAGCAACAATCTCAACATAGAGACCAGACTGGAGCACATGTATCTTTTTGACTATTTTAAATGAAATGAGATGAGACACAAGTGTTTGAGACGGTGTAAAGTACAGTACAGCAAGGTGTTCCCTCAGTAATGACGATGATACTATAGCTGGATAAAACGTAAAATGTCTCGGCCAAGAAAGTCTGACGGAAGATTTTGATCCGAAACAAACAAAAAATGTTAACAGACTTGTGAGTGTTTGATTTCAGTTGTACACACGTAGTTTTGACTAGATCACTTCAATATATGTCCACAACACACAGAATACCTAAACATCTCAAGAAACATGCTTGGTAATAGTGTAGGGTATTGTATGAATTACTAAACTGGTGTTACACTTCAACTCCCTGCTAAAATTTGCTGTCATTGGAAACAAAATAAATGATATTTTTGCAGTCTTTCATGAAGGTTTAAAGCCTTGAGATGCTGTCTTTGTATGGATATATCACTGAGCGTGCTCTCTAGGCTGGCTGACCTGAGGGGTACTCATACATCCAACTTCCCACAACAACTCACAAGCTCTATCTGTAGATGATTTTGAACAGGTTTTAGACTCATAGTTGGTTTGGACAAAATGCACATTAAAATTTCCATCAAATACTAGTTGAAATTACACAAAAAAATGAACAAGAGTATAGTTTTGTAGTTAAATATCAAATAATCCACTAAAGGAGATTCTTCATTGTATTAACATTAAGCATGCTCTGTGTTGTGGAAATTCCATCCTTTCTGACATCTGATTACCATATCAGATATATAACATTACCATGAATGAGACCTTTTTTTCTGAATATGCAAGTGGTGACGATGAAAAGCAGGAAAGTGATGATATGATCAGCAGACACTTCCAGAACACATATTATAGCAGCATGAAGGATGTAGTTTCAAAGCAACTGGTGCAGAGGCATACGTTACAGTATGACTGAAAAGAGAGGCACTACATGTAATCAATATACATATTATTCAGAAAACCAGCTTCATATTCTGTACTGTGAGGAACAGTTTGACTTCACAAGGTAGCTTTGTGCAGCTGAGGAAGGACAGACCTTAACGTTCTCTACCTAACAATGTACTAACCTTTTTTAGATGTATGTTAGTTGGGTCAAAGGTGCGACTATTCTAATCTTAAAGGGGATACTATTATTCAAGTAGTCTTCAGCACAAAGGAACTGGCCAATGTTTACCATCAAGTCATTAAATTGTTTCAATAGCGTTAACTGCGAGGGGGACAAGGTTGTTTTGTTCAAACATTTAAGGAACTCATTAAAAAGTGCAGTGTGCAGAAATTGCACTGTACTACTACTTTAGAAATATAAATGTCTTTGTAAATAAATACATGCAGAAATAAATAATAAAACTGTTAAATATCTAAATATATCACATTTTAAAACAAATGAAATTCAGGTAGAGAATGAGATTAAACTGGGAGAATTAATGTAACAATGGTATTTGATTACTTATGAATGTAGATACTCTCAGTGCTCCTACAGGTAGCTAAAACGACATGGATTTACCAAATTGCCACAAGAACATGAAGTTTATGATGATTTGCCATTCCCTCGCCAGGCTGTGTGTGCGCTAAAGTTTCTAAGAAGTTTCAGGAAGAGGAGGCAGATTACTCATTGTCAGGATTCATGGACCAGAGAGAAGAGAGAAATATTCTAAAGAGAGAGACGCTCAACTGTCTTTTTTTTTTTTTAAATCTTAGCGTGTATTTTCTAGCTGTATGTTGTATGCAAAAACCAGTTCAGACACTGTATATATAGCTGCAGAGTAGAGGAAAAATCTGCATGTTTTTCTATTTACTGATGCAAATGTAGCAATGTAATCCTCGCAGACATGGCAGCTTTAGGTAAAGATACATGTCACTGCATTTTTTAAGGAATAAATGTATAAGGCTTGATGTGTCACTGACAACAACTACAGTACATTACCATGTAATCTGAGATAAGAAACTGTTGCTACTCCCTCCGTTTTCTTCAGTTGTCCAGCTATGAATAAACCCCAGTACAGTACAGTGACGGGTTTTTAAAAAAAGACTCACACCACAGCAAAGGCCTGACACGAAATGGGCGCTTTAGGTGCTGAGAACACTCATGATAAACTGAGGACGTACAGGGGGGGGAGATGGTTGTTGGTGACTGTGGCGGTGAGGATGGGGCTCAGCACAAGGAAAGGGATAAAGACAAGGATCTATGTACATCTTAGTCTCTGCATTCTTTGATGAGAGTCTTGTTTCACATCCTCATCTGTCCGGCTCGTCTTCGTGACAGCTTTGACCTGAGAGGCAGGCGAGAAAAAGAATATTGAATACACAACATTTTCTATTTGAGTTTGTTTTACTTACACCTATAGCCTTTTTCAGACAATGGATACTTAACATTGTTTGATTAATGAATCTGTTAAAGTGACAGCATTCTGTCACTTAGACATTGGCTAGTTTTAATGCTTCTTCATACATACCCACCACAGTGACAGAGATATTGCATGCAATATTTGTCATTTACACACGACTGAAAGAACATCAAATGATGTATAATGCATAATACTGCATTTTGAACAGACTCTGTTTGTGATAGCTCACCTGTACGAGGTAAAGAAAAGTACACAGTGTGACTTAGACCCTATTTAAACCTGTCTCCATGTCAGGAATAGTTTGTAATTATAAGTTATGCATGAAGTCACTGCTGCTGTGCATAAATGTGGACGTTCTTTAGTGTTGCAAGTTTTTGATAAACTCAGAGGAAAGACACCTAAAAACAGCTAGAAGCAACAAACCTTGTGGACATTTCAGTTTGTAACAGAATGAGAAGGGAATGAGGTGTTTAGTGACTTTGGCAGGAAATGTTTTCAGACCATTATTGGTCCCTAAATGTCGACAAATCCTTCCCCAAATCGATTCCCACAATTTCAAGTATGTTGCTTGTGCATGCATATCCACTGGCATGACTAGGTATGGTTTAGACTTGTCTGATTTTGAAAATAATACAGAAATGTTACTATGAAACTATTACTGAACTAGTAGGATTGCTGTTGGGACTTTTATAGAAAAGTTATCATGGCATTCATTTCAACATGAAGCCAACACATTCAGATGTCGTCAAATTAATAAAAAGCAGTGTATGTCTGATAAGAGGTTTATGAAAGTAGTTTTGCCAGTGAGATGGCTTACCTAATAGTTCCAGCAAGGAGAGGATTAAACGCATATAGCCAGTCATGCATCTCTTTGTCATTGGTTGCTTGAAGCAGTATTCCACGATGTTCTGTACACACCGCAAATGTGTTGGGGGTCTGTTGAGAGAGCCACGAAAGCTTATTACAGCACACTTTAATGTAAGAACAACAAAAAGGAATTTGGAGGAGTTTGAGTGATGACCAACCTTCAGCATTGCCTGCTGGTCCTCACTGTACTCCACCTGGGCAGAGGAGAGATTGAGAATAGCTCGTTCCACGGTGTCTCTCTCTGTGTTGTAGATATAGACGTACGGCCGCCGCACAACCACGTAGCGCTTCACCCATCCGTTGGTGTGTGGCTCCAAGAAATGTATGTAACCTTTCTTTGACACGATTGGGCTGAACAACAGAGATGAAATATTAAACCACTGAAACTCCAAACATTGTCTCCTTTTGCTCCTGACACATTTTTAGTCACTGTAGTGTCATTTTTCATTGCAATATAAAGTCTTTCCCCCCTTGGAAACAGCACAAGCATGACCATGAAGAAAAAAATAAAAGCTGAATTTGTTAGGATATTTGTAATTGACAAAATGCTAGAATGAACATGTGCACAGTTTTCTCAAGTGCCCACAGATGTTACCAATAGTGGAAAAATAAGAGGGCCTCATATGTTGTACATTTTTAACTGTTTACATTTTTATAGCCTCTACAAACCACAAACAACTTGCTGACAACCTACTCCTCTATACACCGGTTGTTAATCATGCTGTTTTTATTTTATTGATAAAGTAGGTTTTATTTTCCTCTCAGTCTCGCCTCAGTCCTCTGTTTAAACACAGCCTGCAGTTCACCTGAATAGTCTCTGGTGGTTGCAGCTGAGTCAGTCATGGCTTTTCAATTGTACAGCATCTCATTTTTTATATAGTATTTGGTGTTAATTTTTGGAGAATTTTGGAAGAAAATGTGGTTGATAAAGAGATTCTGATCCCAATTTTAGGCTTATATGGAACCTGGGTTTGGTGTGCAGAGAGTTAACACATGAAATGAAAATGAAATGAAAAATACTTTATTCATCCCAAGAAGGGAAATTCAATGTGGAACCAAGAAAGTTGTCATGCCAGTGATTGCTTTAGACTCACCTGACTCTAATCTCCTGGATATCGGGGACAAATTTGCGGGTTCGAGGTTTGGTATCAGAGGCTCCATTAGACTTCTTGGCCTCAGCATCCTGCTGTGTGTCAGGACCAGGACTGACAGCACGAGAGCGAGGTGCTGGTGGTCTGTTGTAAATAAAAAGAAGAGGCTTTTAGATACAGTAATTAAACAGCTTTCTACAAAATTTAGGAACCAAAGTTCTATGCAATTCCTCAGCATCCATCATGTCATCTCACATTTCATTCAAAAGCTGTAACAATCAACACAAAATCTGCAATAAAGGGCATTTGGCTACTACACACACAACAAAGGTTATTATGGCTACCAAGACTGTCTTAGGACTGACCTGAGTTCAGTGTTGCTATAGCAACCCTCCACCAATGACGGACATGTGGAGGAGGGTGTGATTGTGTTCAAAGCAGAGATTGAAGTGGAGTCTCTCAGCACTGTGACAGACATCTCAGAGATCTGTAACACACCCAAATACACAGATGCATCAGCTGTGCAGAACCTATAAACAATCAATAATCATATTTTCTTCATGTATATGTTTAAATCAGAGTCTTTTGAAAGCTCTACCTTGCTTTCACTGGCGCTGACACACACATGGCTGTATTCTCTGTTGAAGGAGTGAGTGAGGAGCCGCAAACACTGCGTGAGAGAGAAAAAAATAAGAGCTTAACATGTTTGTATATAAAGTCAAAAAGATCAGTAAAGAAGTCTTTTTTTTTGCATTTGCTTCTGCTGTTCTTGACTATTTACCAATGGGTTCCATATATTTATGTAGTTGATAGCGACTGTTCTGCTCAGCTGATTTAAATACAAACTGATATGATGCCGATTTGCAAGAGAATCGATGTTAAATGAAGGCAAAACAATGGACATAGTATCACAGAGTGTGTAGTACTTCAACAGACTACCCTGTCCATAACCATTACAGACTGCGCACAAACTGATATGTGTATCTGATAACTGATAACTTGACTGCTGACTTTTAACACTCTGCTGCTGCTGTCGACCCTCATCTGCTTTCCAGGTGAAGCTCAGTTTGTCTCGAATTAGGTTAATTGTCACCCCTCTCCTACTGCTGGAGCTCACTATGCTCTCATAGGTGTTTATTCTAACTTAAGATATTTATTTATTGGAATAAAACCTTTGAGTATATAATCTCCGGTGTCTGCCTCCACTTTGCGTTGCAGCCAACAAACTGCCTGGAAATATTATGAACAGGACAAACTCTGCTCAAGTCAAACATGAAATGACATTTTCACAAAGTTATGATGGCTGACCTTGGCAGCGAGCTCCCTCTGCCTCTCAGTGGTGATTTCAGAGCTGGAGCTGACCTCCTGGTCGGGCTCAGCGGGCTGAGGAGACTCACTCAGCTCCTCAGTGACACAGGACTGAAGGGCCTCCTGGCCCATAAGCAGGGTGGACTCTAGTTTCTCCCTCAGCAGGAGGTAATGTTTGGTTTTCTCCACCTAAGAGAATGGAGGGGAAACATCACAGTCATTGACAAGAGGCAATGTCCCCGGCCTAAACTTACAAAAAGCTGACAGCAAGCAACTTTTGGAAATAGTAGAGGAAAACTGTTATTTGACAAATTGCAATCTGGTTTCCATCAGAGGCACAGCAAAGAGATGGCTCTCTGTTCTGCTTTCAATGCCATAAATCATAATACTTTATTAGAAAGTTAAAGGAAGCGAGCTGGGATATCTGGTAATATATAGCTTTTGGATGTTTTTCTTGAGATTTTTCTGACTGCAAGTTATTTGCAACTAAAGGTAAAGAAGTGCATCCTGTGCTCCTCTGACCTGTGGAGATCCTCAAGGGTCAATTCTGGATCCTGTCTTATTTTTCCTTTACATGCACCTACATCCATCAGTTTGGCTGTGTTTTTTTTTATCACTGCTGTGACAGTGATGTCCACTTTTACTTATTTGTGAAACCATTTTACCATTGTCACCCATTCCTGCTGTTTTAATCAAGAAATATTATTTCTGGTATATAGTATATTTTGTTTATTCACATTGCATATTTTATGGTTTTGCACTAATCCTAGTAACTACTCTATAAAGTAATAAATTACTTTTTACTTGAACATATTTATGACAAAGACTGGTCACCACCGAATAACCACAGGTACATACAATTTGCCCTCTTGTGAACGCACCCAGAAAAAACACATTAGTTTAAGTGAATAGATTTCATATTGTATGTTGAATACATTATACTATGGTTTTAGACTTTTTTAAAAGATAGAATTATAGAATTTTTTCAAAATAAAAGTACTGTGCTTCTTCCCGGTTTTGATTGGGGAGCAAAATGCATATCTTCTAAATACTGAGGGGGATGTAAATTTAGACTGAGTCCAATCACCAGGATCACTGTAGACACATGATGAGATCTGCATTTAAAGATTTTAAGACAAATTTCATTAAATACCTGATTATATTTGGCTACATACAGGTTCAGTAAATAAGGACCAGTGGCATGTGCCTTTAGGTGTCAATATAAAGTAACATTTGACCCTCACATCTTGGAGGAGGCTAAGTTTCTCCAGCTCCCACTGGTGGTCCAAGATGAGGCTGTCACTACGTGGTCTCCATCCAGCCAGGTTCTCCTCCCCTCGGACGTAGGCCACAGAGGTGTCCAGCACCCGCCTGCGTCTCCTCTGCATTCCTGATGTGGGACAGGTACAGAATTAGAAATGCTGCTGGGCAAAGCAATGCTGAGGCTGAGAAATGATCGTGTTTCTTTACTCTTACCTGGACTACCTGCATCTGCCAGGTGACATAAGCTAACCTCATAAACTCCCGTTACACGATTTCTAGGGAAAGATAATATAATATATAACTGACAACCAAGCTATAACTGTAAATACATTAACAGAGAAATCATGGCAGAATATAGTACATTCATATTCAGAAATTTCAAACTTACCCATCTGCAGCTCTGAGGCTTCCAGTACCAAACAGGTTGCGGATTGAACGGGAAGCTGAGAGCTTTGTGTCTCGAGAGTAAAACACCATGCAGATATCTTTGGTTATGACTGCAGGCTGTGTGCAGTTCTCCATCTGCAATTGATAAAAGAGTAGGGATTTCCAACATTTTTCCTCCAGAGTAACTCACACATCACCTCTGATACTGTAAGAGCTATTTCTGCCTCTTATGAATGCAGGCACTGTACTGTACCTCCAAGTAGGCTGAGAGGGTCATGTAGATCTTCTCCCCATACGGGGTGACTCGGTTTAGTAGCAGAGAGTTGTGCATGGAGCTATCCCAAGCAGCCTCGAAGCGGTAGAAAGTCCTGCGGTAGTCCAAGGAACAATGTGTTAGAAAAAAAAAACTGAATCAGCTGTCAGAATTCAAACACTTTAAACAAAACATCAAATTAGCTGCCAGAGCTAAACCCATGCTAAAGTATATCCTGTAAATGTAAACATAAAAAATAGGATAAATCTCAAATGTCTTTGATACAAAGAATTTTTATGCAGAAAAATATGCAATAACATTTGATTTGATACACTGAGAACAGACATTGTACAATATTTACACATTGCATGAAGTATTTCTGTAGTTCTCAATGAAACAAAAGTAGTAATGCCATCATTTTGCATGCAACAGGCTGACTGACTTGATGCTCACAGAAAAGCAGAGAGCTGAGATGACTGTTAGTACAGAAAAAAATGAAGGGAAGGATGAAAGGATGAGAGACAGCCATTCAAAATGAGGGACAGGGCAGTGAAATACCTATGGTCAACTTCCAAGGAAATGCTGGTGAGAAAGAAGAAATCAGCAAAAGAATAGAAAGTGAGAGTCAGGAAGTATGTTGTGGTTGAGCGCTTGTGTGGCTGGGATGGTGTTTGTCTTTTTCACACACAGATATCTCATTTTGTAAACACTGCCGTAGATAGTGCAGCTCACCCATCAGAAAGCGTTGAGAAATCCTGTGGCTCTATTTGATGCAACCCTGCTCAATCATTGAAAAGGTCAAATAACAGTGCATGACCATTCTTCAAGCTAAACAATGCTGCTTTCTGTTATGCTGATGATTTACTCCATACAATAACGTACACAATTTTTTTCCATGTCCCCCAAGGGGGAATAATCACACACTGAAACCAGTTATGATTCTGGCCTGCAGCCCGGTGCGGCCTTAAATCTAAAATAGATAATCCAAGCAAGAATTGTAAAAGGAAACTAATGTTTCTGTAAGCCATAAAAACAGGCTGAATGGACTCTTCATGAGGTTCAGATGTTGGGCCCACTGGCTTTGGACTGAAGTGACCTTGTGGGAAAGTGAACAATGTGTCACCCAGAAGAAAGCAAACATGCACTGAGCTGCTTCTGCAGCAAAGAGAGTTCACTGCTGCTATGTGAGAATTCAGTGTTGAGATGCCCTTTCTTTTCATTTGTAAGTAATTAGCAAGTTCATTAACACACACACAATTTCACACTTCACATTTGCACACATGCACACTTCTTTCCCAGTAGTAGAAACTTGTTAGCTTATACTAAAAGGAAGCAATTTCCTCTTCGCACTGCACCAACATGTGCCTCTCTGCGTTTTACTACCTCCTAAAAATGTGGGAGCCAGCATTGAAGTCATGCTGCTGGCCCAACATGTGAGGAGCCATTTGTTTCTGGTGTTTGGCAGAGTTTCACCAACGTACAAGCAAGATTTAAAAATATTCACAACATCGCAGCAATCCTGGGTAAAGTGCTACTGGTGAGGTAATGGTTCACTGGATTACATTTTAATTGCTGCATTTGAATATCGTGCCAGATTGGGTACAGTAAATGATGTGATCCATATTACAGCACTTGAGTAATCGTGAGTGACTAGTGTTCCTGTTAATGTTTTGTAGCTGTGCTGGGAAATACGTCGACTCTTGGGATTAGAGGTAACTAACAAAATTATATCCATGGATTTAAAATATTGATTCACTGTTAAGGTCAAGAAAATGAAAATAATAAACAGAGCAAAGAACAGAGCTGAGAAAATTACCATTTTTTTCAGCTCAAGACAAAATACATCTCTTTTGCCTTTGTTGTTTCAAATTTTGTTATAGTAATGGATTACTATCACCCTCTACTGGCAATTCACACCAACACACCTTCCTCATCATGAAACCTTTCAGTTCAACCACTGCGATTCATAGCTATTTAACCCTCTGAATCTCAAGCAGTTTTGGGGCGTTTTTTTGCTCCTATCACATTTTTACCACCTGTGGACTCTTTTTACTGGAATATAAAGTCCCCTACTTTTATATAAAAAGAAACCATTGTCAGACGTAGTTTGTACTGTATAACAAAGTTACAATGGCATGAATTATAAAGAAAAAAAAGAAAAAATAGTGCAATTTCTTTTAATTGTTCTACAAAAAATTTAAAAAATGTGGAATCAACCTGTACATTTTTGTGCCCACAGGTGTTCCAATACTGAAAAAAAGGGGTTCCACGTGCTATAGATATTTCAGTACTCACACTTTTTATTTATTTCCATACTTGTCTCCAATTTATTCTTTGTGAACAGCCTGCAGTTCAGTCGAGTAGTCCCTGAATTAACTTAATAGAGACACGTAGAACAACATTATTTGGATGAAATATTTGGATTTTAAGGTTAGATTTGGTCAGCTTTCCAAACCAAACTGCACACCATGTGAGTAGTTTAATGACTATCAGTTGAAAATTAAAAATTTGCAGATTCTTTCTGTTTTATAGTTACTGGCTCTAATAAATACTCAAATATTGGCATTTTTAAAAAAAAATAACAAGCCCTTCAAACTTGCTGGTGCATTTTGGGGTTCAGAGGGTTAACCAGATTGGATGCAACTTTTTTACATTTTATTTCTTTTATCTGCACTGGCATCTGTAAACAAAGAGGACAAAGACAGAGAAACAAGACTTTTCAAACATGTCGGCAGCATTTTACAATTGCCTGTTTCTACCCGACACTTTCTAAAATCCGGATTATAGGGTACTGCAGCAACTGCTGAAGCTGAAACAGAGTTTGATACTGGCCCCACGACACCTCCAGCAGAGACACAGCCAAGGACAGTCCACATGAAGCAAAGCAGAGCCATGCAGACCCTGTCCATCATCAACCATAGCCTGACAATACAATAGCTCAAACACACATCCAGCACAGCAAGAGAACCAGGGACATGCAGAACCACATCCCTCACTTCTCATGAGGGGGAGTAACAAAGAGGCACAGATGAATGGTTGACAGCGATGACAGAGTAGGAGAGAAGAGAACAAAATCACTAGAGGCCGACTAGGAATGACAGGGTGTACAGGACGTTAGAAAGATGAGGTGTTTGTGTAACTTAAGAGCACGAAAAGAGAGGCAAATAATATACCTAGGCATGTCCGAATCAAGAAACTGTCTGCAAAAGCAAAAAAAACAACATTCCGTTAGTGGACTGGAGGGAGAAAAATGTTAGCATCCATATATACCTTAATGTTAGTTTCTGCAAGACTGAGCAGAGACCTTACTGGACCACAGCCTGACCTGCTGCTGAGCCTTTAAACTAATCTCTTAGCCAGTAAGGCCACAACAGGATAAACAAAACCCAATCATCATGGTCAAGGACAGGCTGATCCAGCAGGGAGACTGGTTAGTGCTGCGAGGAGTGTTCGGTTGCTTTGCACTGGGACGCAGTAAACCCAAGACTGGGAGATGGTGTTGTTAGACTTTTTGGAAAGTTGCTGGGAAAGCAGAGGGATTAAGGAATGAGCCAAAAACAAAGAGTCAGAAAAAGCATAAGTTAAATTAAAAAAAAATAACAAAAATATATATATTTTTTTTTTAACATGAATAAAAACTACTACAGGTCATAATAAACAATAATCAGCAATTTCCCTGAGGTACCCCACCAAAAGGGATCAATAAAGTTATATCTAATCTAATCTAATCTAATCTAATCTATCTAATAATAACAATTTTAGTCAATGAACATTTATAGAAAATCTACAGTGATGTTTATCCATATACATGTGAATACACTGAAGACACGCTGCCACCTAGTAGTTATTGTGCTACCACACAGTGGTGAGGTTATGAAGTGGTGATAAGTGATTTCAGATGTTGATGGTCTTTTATGCCAGTAATTACTTGATTACTGGAAAAACATGCCATCTGCATTATATTTCAGTGGCTGCCAAAACACAAATTCTCATTATGGGGCCACAAGTATTATAAGAAACCTGCTGCCCTCTACTGGCAGTCTGCTGAACAATACTAAACAGTTCACAATTCAACATGATGAAAAAAATGGTACCAAAGCCAATTATTTGATACATTAAAAAAGCCAGAATGTGTTTTTGTCTGTAATAGTGACAGAAAGTCTCTCTAGTATCTGTCTTGTTTGTAAAAACGTTTTGATTTTTGCATGATGTTAGTATAGAATAGGCTGTGTTCACATTTCAGAGTGGATTTGTGTTGCAAATGTGTACAATTATGACTAGTTGTAATTTCAAATTCAGATATCTACAGTTTAATTATGACTAGTCATATTTCTAATTCAAGATCTCTTTAATCCCCCTCAATTCAAAATATCTACATTGTCCTTTTAAGATCTCGAAAAATTTAGTTTGAACTTGTCACAGTGACTATCGAAACATCTGAAACTGGAATTCTGCCTAATCAGAATGTAGCTACAGATATCTAGAATTAGAGTTTTGACTGCCCAGAATGGTTTGCAGATATCTGTAGTTATCAGTAGCTAAAGCAAGTGGGAGTCATTTCCTTTTTTGACTAGTCTAAAGCAAAATTTTAACTGATCTGAATGACGTTGCTGATAACTTTAATTTGAATTTCATATAAAAATTCATAGTTAGTAATGCCATCAGTCTGTTGTAGCAAATCCTTTAGACTGCACCTTGTTTGTTCTTTGTAGTCAATTAAGGGATTCAATAAGGTGATGGTGAAATGCTCAAATACAAATATCTTAAAAAGTGCATTTTTATTTTGTTTGAGAGTGCAAGTATTTATTAATGAAGGCCTGTTTATATAGTAAGATACAGTTAAACTAAGGTGCTGGGGGAAAATTAGTGGCAGGATTTGTTGAGGTTTATATGCTGTATTGGGGTTAGTAGATCTAATCATGGTTTAGAAATGAGAGGTTAAAGGGGATGCGATAAACACGGTGAGATACAACATGTAGGTGCAATGATGACAAACAACAAGAGCACAGATTAACACCAAGGAGGGTCGCGCAGCCAGCATGGACAAGTGATCTCATAACCACAGATATGGCAGATTTGGCTTAAAAGAGATGCTTAAATAACTCAAGTGAAGTCTGATTCACTGCGTTTCTGTGACCTCCTGCAATTAAAAAGAGGGAACTAGATTCATGCAGACACAATGAGAAGTATAAGAATGCAAAGCAACTTGCTGAGGTTTCTTGTAACATTCAAGATGTTGCTCTGCTGTCATGCTGTTTAGACAGCTGGTACCATATGCCATGCATTTTCCCATGTGCCACATTCTCATGAAAGAGCTGACACAGCAATAACAAAGTGAGGTCCTCAGATAAGACTGTTGACACAAAATCATACAGTTGTTTCTATATTCAGCCAAGCTATTGCAACATAGAATATTCAAATCTTTGCTGTTTTCAAGGTAAACGGCAGTACGTACCTGTCATCTTGCATAGGCCTGACATACCCAGCAGACAATATGTTTAGCGAGAGAATATTGGGATCAATGATGGTCTCATCAGCCTCAGGGGTGTTGCGCAGGCGTCCTGGAAAAGATGGAGTACCTCAGTGAGAACAACTAAGAGATTGTTGGTGAAATGTTTAGTTTTCAGTAGAGATGTCCTGAATTGGGGGTGATCACAGGATTGTTGACTAATTTGCACAGTATAATCCTATGCCAGTTGTTTACAGCTGTTAAAATGTTCTGCTTGCATTTAGAAACACTATCCTAATTTATCCCCCCTTAATGACACTAGTTTTCTGGTCTAAGGGCAATAAGCATCATCACAGTGCTCCTTTACTAGCTAAACTCCTACAGTGCTCTCTACTGGCCAACATGGAAGTGCCCTCCTCCTTTGGTCACTACAGTATTAAACAGTCAGGTACTACATTTAATCTACCATACTTAAAGTGTTCATTATCTCGAAAAATTGCATTAGCAAATTCTACTCAACTAAATATATATGACACAGATTGGATACATTAACAAAGAAAACTTGATAAGGACATCCCTTGTTTTCAGGGTTAAAGACAAGTGCCAACCTCCGGGGCTGAAAAATGAAGTCAATGTTTAAGTGACAAAACCCTGCAGTTCTTCTAATTTCCATTTGAGGCTGATTTTTTAAAAGTTATTACATGCTCACAGATCCCCATGTTACATATTACAGCAGAAGTAAATATGTTTACAGCCTGGTACAAAAAACCTTTTTTGGTCTTAATAGCTAAGTTTTCTTGTTGTTTGCATATACCTCATCTGTTAAAATTGTATTAAGGCTTAAAGATATGCATAATTAAGGATGTGTCCACACAACTTGATCCCATCATAGGACAGTCCATGGCCACTCGTGGACCGCCTCTTTGCACATTTTTGGGCTAGTCAGGAGTTCGAAGGAATTAGGCACTGCTAAGATAGCAACAGCTGGTGCAATCACACCAAGCTTGAAAAGTGCTCTGCTGGAAAAGTTTAGTTGATGAGAGTTTGTTCATCCTTATATACAGTCTTTGGTTAAAAATCCTGAAAATGAAACTTACCCACAACAAGCTCACGGACTTCCTTCCATTCCATGTCACCTCCAGATTCATGTACAATGGTGACAGTGACTCTCCTCTGAAGGCCCTGTAGAAGTGAAGAAAAGAAGGATAGAGGGACATTAATAGACTCAGTACGTTTTAAACATTACAAATATTTTCTCACAGTGTGACTAACATACCTGGTGCAGTAGGAATGTGCCATGGCACGGCATTCCTCCTCTGTGGTCCACCACTGCAGGAATGTAGCTGGGATGACACAAATGAAAACAAACCTTACTGCTCTGGTCAAATACAGCTCATGCAGTACAACAGAGATGTCTGTGGTTCAGAGTTTTGGGGGGAAAAAATCCAAAAATCTGTTGTACTTGCTTGGAGAGATAACACAGGATACTTACTCTCCATTGGCCTCCAGCTCACAGATCTCAAAGAACACCATGAGATCGTATTTACAGTGGCAAGGTCCTGCCTGCGGACGGGTCATGGCCGTCAGCTTGGTGGCAGGTACTGTGTTGAAAGAAATTACACAAAGAGTTAAACAGGAAGACAAGGTGAAGGTAAATTGAGAACAGACTGGTGGCTAAAGGCAGCTACCAACCCTACAAAGGAAAAGAAAGGAAAGAAGAAAGGAAATCAGTGATGCAGGGAAAGAGGGAACCACGCAGAAGCGTAGAAGGAGCTCCGTTCTTTCAGCAGATTTATAAGCAACTCTGTGGTCCTCTTTTAAAGGAGAATACTACTCATGAGAGGATGTGTATGCAACAATTCCTTGCACAGTATTCTCCTTTAATAGAACTGATGTTGTTGACAACCATGATTGAGTGTAAACATACTAAGAGTGCTCATCCAATTTCAGGTAGTTCCACAAAAGGAGTTCAGAGTTAAGAGAGTGTGCATTAAAAAAAATCATTCACATGCAGCCCTGGAGTTTGGCACAAGCTCAAGGAAAAACATAAGGTATACAGTAGCATAGAGTCAAGTTATTTTGTTGAATTTATTACTTCTAATAGCTATTTATCTCTTTGCTACTAGTTTGGATTGATTCTTTGGATGGATTGTTTTGTTGTGAGATGCTGTGAATTTCCCCCCTGTGATCAATAAAGTCTTATCTTGTGTGAGTAATATACAAATGGTTTCAAATTAAAGGAAAAATCTGAATGCTTGACCCCTGAAGAGATCAAGTGTCTCCAGGATCCAGTGGTATCCTGTGGGGGGCATTTTACTGGCATGGTTTGGATCCACTTGTCCCTTCAGAGGGAAGGTTGACTGCAAATCAATGCAAAGTTGTTCTGAATGATCACCTTGATCCTATGATGAACCATTTCCATCCTGATGGGAGTGCTTTGTTGCAGATGACAATGTCCCTATCCATTGGGCACAAGGGGACAGCTTTGTTCTAGTGGCACTTGTTGGCCAACACCTTGCTAAAACATTTTATGTTTGTGTTTCCTTTAATTTGTCACCTGTCTGTATAAATATCCAACTATAATGTACAACACAGTTATCATTCTTGGTTGATTACTGTAGAAGAAAGGCACTGTGATCCAGTTCAAAAGGAGCTCAAAGAGGGAACTGCAAGGAGAATGCACCACGTAGGTCAACAGTGAACACAGAACACCAGAGAGCCAATCCAACTGCAGAATCCTGACACAGAAAACTCCCTTTTTATATCATTTAACTTCATTTTTTACAGGTTTTCTGTCATCAGTATCTAGCAACTGTGATATAACCACAGTAAAAAAGATTTGAAACACACTGAATGTTTGTTCTTCCTTCTGCTCCATCTACAAGAAGGTCATGTCACATTCAGTTATAGATGACTGACTCTGCAGCTTGAAGGGCTTCTACCTTTTCAGTAACACTTTCACAAAATGGAATGCTTCTCGTCACAAGAGTTAGAATGTATTTTTTAAAAATTGTATAATTGAGTTAAATGTAACATGGCATGACAGTCACTCGGCTCAAAGATATCTTTTAAGTCGTGCCAGGACAAACACATAATATAAAAAAAGGTTTTCAGCTGCAGGATTCTCTTGGATCTGACATCAATAACCAACCCGGCTTCTGAGCTTTAATAACTGAACAGATAGATGTGGGTGGAGCTGGCAGCTGAGCTCGATCGTTTCCTTCCAGTAAGAAGGAAGCAGCCAAGCCAGCAGCAGACAGAGCGTGGCCCGACAGCGAGTCCACCAGCGCCCCATTGAACACATCTGGGACCAGGTATCGGATCAGCTCCAGTGATTTCTCCCGGTCCGGCGAGACATCAGAGTCCACTGCTCACACCCAACAACATGAAGCTGAGATGACATGCCTTGCAAGCAGACCGGTACAAAGACAATGCAACATAAATAAATGGTGGAATTCAATCAAAGCAGCTCCAGCCTGGAGTTTATTTACCTGGTTTGGACAGAGGCATCACTCTGGGAAACTGTCTTCTGCAGGGGCGTAGTGGACTGGATGTAACCATACACATCACATATCATTAGGAAAACACAACCATAATCAATATATCTTTTATGTATTTAATTTCATAAGCAGCCATATTACCTCATGACGTCTTTACAAAGAGGAAGAAAAGGCTGTTTTTGATAGTGTCCAAACACCTCAAACACAATTGGCTGAGTCTTGATGTAGTCAACAAAGGATTTAGTGACTTCAACAGCAATCTACAAAAACAATACATTGATGTGTAAGTACCTGACCTATTAAAACCTGTAACAACACATCACCGTGTAGAATTTGTGCTTCTTACGTTCTGCACATGGTAGAAGCCGAGAGGAGGACCGCGGCCTGTGTTTTTTAAGGGCTCAGTAGAGAAAGCCTCATCATGGCGGTGGATAAAACTGAAAGAGTGAAACACAATAATTTACATGTGAAACTGTGAAAAGAACATGATAAATACTAAAAATCTGAAGGTACTGGTGTTTACTGCTTACTTGAACTGACAGAAGATGTCAGCATATTCTGCAGAGATGCTGGAGGCCTGCAGGACCGTAACTCGAAAGGTAAAAACATTTCCGATTCTCAGGTGCTCCAGAGTTCCATCAAGTGCACCATCCAGACCAGCCTTCAGTGGATTCTCCTGCTCGTCTGTACCAGCTGCAAGTAACACAAAAATGAAAAACAGACACAGGTTAAAGTAAGGTTGCATTCCAGGTAGCGAGCTAAGCCAAGCTGAGCTGATTGTCACTGCTCTCTGGTGCCACAGACCAGGATGGATTATGTCAGGCTCACACTACCGGATTTAAAAAATCCTACCAGATTTTGAAATCAGGTGGCCTCATACACATAAGGAGAAACTTTCATATATACTTCTCTTTAATCTCATACATACAAACACTACAAGATTGGAAAGTAATGACCCATCACACACTTCAGAATATTATAAAGATTATTGTGCCAGGGGGAGCAGAGAGGCGTCAGATTGCGGAGCACCACCTGGCACGATCTCATGGGGAATGATGTAAATCAAATGCAAATACCACGGAGACTGTGGTGCAACAACTTTCTATAATGGTAATAAGAGAACATAACGAGTGGACGGGAAAATGTTTGGGGAGATTCTTCAGCAAAAACTGGAGGTGAGATTTTGACTCCTAGTTTTAATATCTGTGTCCAGCGTTAGCATCAAAGGCTAGAATGGTTACCATTGGCCATGAAGTGCTCCAAGAGGAAGTGCAATAATCAGATTTATCCAGATTTAACTCATAATTATCAGCCATGCTTGATATTATCGTGGCAGCCCTGATGAATCTGCAAGCAGCTTAGGCCTGGATCTGGAAACCGCTCACATTACCAAATAATTTGGGCCAGTCATCGATTCAGATCAAGATCCCAGACCAAATTGTTTCTCTGAATTTGGGAAGGTGAAACAAGGGTAAAACAGCGCAAAGTTACTGCATTCTGAGCCCAGAATAAGATTTGGCTTGGATTTCAGGCAACAACTTGGGCTTATTTTAGTCAAGAATTTCTTCTTCTGGGGTATTTGGCTATTGTCAATCCTCAGAGCCCAAATCTACCATTGTGAATCTTTTCTTGAGAATTCATCAGTCTGGCATGAGTCTAACATCTATGTCAAACAGTAATCTCCAGGGCTGAAGAACAAGCCAATGCAGGAGTGCCGAAATCTGAAGTTCCTGCAATGATCACTGGAGGCTGGCTTCAAAGAGGAGTCAGTCCCCACAGACACCCTTGTTAAAACAGCCAACTTCACAGCAGAAATAAACATCCTTATTAAAAATGGTTTTAGTCTTTAAAGTTAACAACTACTATTTTTATTTAATTCACCCTTAATTTAGCCTTAAAGTTGTGCATAATTAAGGGTTTGGCTGCTTTGAGTGACAGATTAGGAGGAGATACAGGAGGAGTCAGGTACTACCAAAATGGTGGCAGATGGAGCCACCACACTGAGCTTTAAAAGTTCGGAAAACAAAGGGTTTGTACAAGTGTACATGTTTCCATTCACTCATAAAATACGAATACCCGCACATGTGTTGTTGTTGACCTCATCAGCTGATGGCCCCATTTCCACATTCTGCCCCTCTCCCTCCACAATTCGAAGCTCCTCCTGAGAAATCCCTGTGCGGGACAGTCCTACAGAGCAGGACTCTGACTGGAACTGCAAAAACAAGGTGCACAACACACTGGTCAGCAGGTACACATGAATTCTACATATACTGTAATAACTGTTGTGTGAGTTTTGCCACCTTTTCATATTGCTGATCCTCAAATGAGATTTTGGCAGTGCCAGACTGCCTCACTCCAGAGCCGTAGTCAGGAGCTTCCTCATCAGCTGGAGGGAAACACAGAGCACCTTCACTTCACTCCCTCCAGAAGTCACATACAGCTTGTCCCGTCAATTGCTTCATGTGGTTTGGCTTCAACAACAGTGAGGCTGAGGATCCAAGCCTTACCTGATATTGCCTGTACGGCCACTCGGAGGAAACCCTTGACCTCTCCCTTCTCACTGACGATGGCTACACGGTGGACAAGAGGCACCGGGTACAGCAGATTACTCAGATATACAAACGCCCTGGACAGCAAACAGACAGAGAGAGGAGAATAATGAAACGTTAAAAACAACCAAGCTGAGGAGATGTTTCACTCACAGTTGATAAGTTTTCACTGGACTGGACAACAGAACACAGAGCTGCAAAGCAACCAAACAGAAGCTGGGACTGCTCTTGCGATGGCCATGGCTGCCCTTTACTATTGCTTTGTGGGGGCTATTCCTCACCATCCATAAATAATTATCTTATCAGGACAGTTATGGGTCGCATGCAGTATAATTAAGGTTTTGTGTTGTACTGATGAAGGCTTGGTGAGGCTAAGGAGCATGTAAGTAAGGATTAACTTTCAATTCTTTAAATGGCTTAAAAATATTAGAATTCAGCTAAATATTCAGCTGGAGAGATGGTTTCATTAGTAAGCAATGATTTACTTTGCATTGCTTAATAATTAGATGCTACTGCATCACAAACATGCTTCAATATGAAAACACTACATATTAATTATGTAGAGCCAAAGTGAACATATGAAGCACTTTGTATTAATGTTACATTTGAAAATACTGAAGGGGCAGTGACAGACTACAGTTTTCTTGACAATAGAAATGTGGGAACAACTGCTTTGATGTTTCTCTTTTTTCACTGTCTTGCTTGTAACTACAATACTTGTTCTTGCAGTCAAAGACCACATTTTCCACGAGCCAATAGGGGTAGACATTTAAGGGTGGAGAGTGTAAAAAGGGAGAGGCGTATGACAAGATTGGTGAGGTGCAAATAAGGCATGCTCAGGACAAAAAAGGTGAACAAAAATGCTTTCAACGTCTCGACTCAAAGGAATCAAAAGCAAATGGAACAGAAATCATCATACGGAACATGACTCAGCTGGAATAAAAACTGCCAACAGCTTGATAGATTGTGTGCTACACCAAAAACCAACGAATGACATTAGAAATCAAAGCGCACCTCCTGAGTCGAAAGTGGCAATTTTCACAAAATAGGGGTACGAGTTCATCATCAGACGTATTCACGTAAAAATTGACAAAAAAGGTCAAAATGAAAAGACTTGTGCTCTGGCATGCCTAAAAGAGACAGCTGCGGCAGAAACCAGCTCTTTCATCTTGAGATTTTGAGTCTTCCTTGAACACCACTTTGCTAGTTCATATGAATAATTTCCAGACTTGTACTTATTCACAGCATGCTGAGAACATTTCGCTGTGGGTTCCTGTGTTATGCAAATCAGACCTTAATATATTCCATGACAAATGTCAGTGCTTAAGGTAGTAAAAAGTCTTTTTCACTTTGCATTTAGCCACACAAAAGTGAGACACACACCTCAAGCAGTGGATCAGCATCAACATTGATTGGATTTCAGCAGAAACAAGTGGCATGAACTGGCCCACACTGGGCTGACTTTAGGAAACTATTTATAGAATTACATGAGTGAGAAGCATTTAGTTAGTGTATAAAGGCAGCAAAATGCAAATAAGCATCTAATTAGGATGAGGTCAAAAGCAAAAGATAAACCTTGAAGCCCAGAAATGTCTACTCCAGTGTCCATTCATGTTAATGAAACAAACTGTGTAAAAGTACAGTGTATTTGTGGCTCAATCACTAGAGACACAGTGACAATGACAAGACACTCAAGCGGCTGGTTTGTATGATACTCAATTAGCTTCGCAACCTGTGCACATGAAAACCAGGCCCCTACAGGAGATACATGTGCAGAAAATCATCTTGTGAGGCTTTCTGGTCTAAGCGCAAAGTGCAATCCAACACTCTATCCGCTAGCACTTGCAACCACTCGACACTCACTTCTTAAACTGATTTATACGATTTTGGAGGCAAGGCAGTGTCTGATAACTCAGTTCCTTTAAATGGTCGCTTTCAACACCCACAGTCTCTACTTTCTAATCATACGGCGTCGCTGCAAGACTTACCGACTTACAATAGTAGACACTGACATCGATCACTTTTATCTCTAAGTTCTAACTTTTCACTTCACTTTAAAGAGGGTATCTTTATCCAGCTGTTGTCCACCATATTGAATGGACAAGGGCAAATAATACTTAGTGTTCAACAGTATTAAGTTAACCAGCCAATACCTACAATGTTCAAAAAATACAACTGAAAAAAACAATTAAACAAGTGGAGTTATCAGCCCCTGTCCCACCTCCAAAATCTCCAAAGTCAATTTGACAAGTGAGTGCTGTTGAGAAACTGCAATCTTTTTGGAAGGGTCGAGTGAGCGCTCATGACAGTCCCGTGCTTACAGAACTATATTTGTGCACATAGAGCAGAAACACTTCATTGCAGGATGGTTTTCTACTCTTGGACACTTTTCTGTGAACTCATATTACATGCCTGGTTTTCATGTGCAGGGGTTGAGACGAATCAAATTCTATAGGTTTGACTTTGTTTTCAGTTTGGGAGTGTGTAAGAATGTGAAATGAATGAAAGTCCTACAATTGAAAAACATGAGTTTAGTTAATTTTCAAATCGCAGTTAAAGCCATCCAACTGAAATGCCTCAGGTCCATGTTGACATTTCAACCAGCTGGACAGTAAAATGAAAAACAGCTGTTTGTAAACCAAACAGCAGGCTGATTTGGTCAGAAGATATGTCATTGCCACATCAGAAAACAAAACACACACCTAGTCCACAACAGACTGAGGGTTTTGTGAGAACATACTTGTGTACTGTGGCTGTGTTATGTATAGTCCTTTCAGTAATGTCTTTACATCTGGACTGATGTCTATCAAGGGAAACAGACCCTGCGTCTCAGCGTGAAAGAGCTAGTTTCCTCCACCAGCATGCTCCTGAAACCTCACCAACCTTCCCACTACACTGAATAATGGTGAGCGGTCGTAAAAGGGATCCTGGCCTTCGCTGGAGCCTCGGCAGAGCTCTCCCTCATCATCATCATCATCACCATCATCATCATCATCATCATCATCATCCTCTCCCCCGAGCTCCGAGCACGGGTCGTCCAAAAAGATATCATCGTCCAGGTCCTCCAACTCCTCCAACTCCTCCTCCTCCCCTCGACCCTCCCGCTGCGAGTCAGCCAGCTCAGTAATTTCAGAGTTGGAGAGGGTTGGGGACGGGGTAGGGTCACTCATGCGCTCGCTCATGCATGTGTTGAAAATGGGGTTTCTGGTGCAGCCAGAGACATGGGAACTGGGTTAGTACAGTTAGATAGAAAGCACACACTTGTTCAAAAAAGAGGGGCGGTAGAGAAACATACGGGCCTGACCACAAGAGAGAAACCTTCCACCCTCTGAGCCAGAAACAGCTTTTACTGTCTGTTTTAGCGTAGAGCAAACAGTGGAGACTGAGAGGACAGAGTGAAAGCAAGCTGCAAATGTGGTGAAAAGTATTTAATTGCTCAGGTTACAAGAGTAGATACAAGGGATGATCAAAAAGTTCTCACGCCATATGTGGTACGAGTGTCTAGCTGTCACAAGTCAGGATACTGTGTGACATCTATCAACAGAGGGACCTGTGCTACACGTGTTTATTTTAACCACTACGAGTTGCACTTGTGAGATTTCTCAATTGACGGCAAACTGGAGCAGAAAAGAGAACATCATATTCTGTATCAGTCAGCAGCCAAGATGAAAACCTTAATGTAGAGGATTATCATTAGATGGGAGTCTGCAGCTACTACTGAGAGAAGAAACAGCGGTTAACACAGTGGAAGATCTGTAGTCTGAAAAACCAGACAAGGCACATCAGTTCAGGAAAGCCCCAGAAGCATGCTCGTTGTTTTTTTTAATTTGTTTTTTTTCATTTTCAAGTTTCATGTCTCTGTGTACCATGACAACAACAATCTGAACTGTAGAATGATGGCATGTGAGTCCCCCAATGCATTGTGTGCCCATTCACAGCACAGCAATTATGCACAAGTTTTTGAGCTACAACAACACAATAGTCACGCTACACCAGCCTGATTTGCCTCTCTGTGACTTACTCTTCTCAAAATAGGATTCAAGTTAAGTTCAAGGTAAATTTAAAGGTCTTTTGGACACAGTTTAGGAGATTCAGAACTCATTGCAACTGGTACTTGACATATTCACATGACAATACTTCCATTGAGCGTGACAAGCGTTCCTACTTTGATAGGAATGGCGTCTACGTTTAAACCAGTTTTTGATTTTTATAGACGTAATCTTGCAACTTCTTGATCACCCCTCATATTTAAGTATGTCAGACCATAAGCGTGATGATGGACCATGGATATAAGTAGAGATATCTTGTCACCATGAACCAGGGAACATTCCCTCCTTAAATGTGGTGCATTTGACTAGATACAATATGTTTTCATTTCTCATCCATTGTATGAAGCGACATTATGAATGAGCTGACAAAGAACAAAATGGGGGAAATTTTAAGATTGCTGCCTTGTCATTTCTGCTTGTCTTGCAGAAACTAAATGAGATTAAAGATTTGATGTGCTGAATGTTACGTAACAGTGGCATGTGACTGTTTAAGACCCATCTGCAAGAGAAAGAGATACAGAGAGAGAGAGAAAGAGAGTTTGGCAGAGAGAGGTGGGCAGAGATTTAGAGGCCATGTGCCAAAGTGTGAGAGAAAGAAGCAGCAGGCTTTGAGTAGGAGGACTGAAGAAATGTCGTTCTCAAATGTTCCCCAGCCTATTTTACCCTTTAAGATGGACCTGTCATCAACCAGCATGTACCAAAGTTATCACTGTTCACTCTACTGACAAAAGGATGGCTGATATTAGGAAAAAATGACACTGTGATATTTTCTTTTTGTGCGATATATACTGTGCTATGAAAAAATACAGGAATTTTACCAGATGATATGAATAATTATTTGGACAGAAAAATTGCTGAATGATTGGAGTGTATGTAGGGAAGTGCATCTGCGTAGAACTGATAAAATATTAGTACAAAAAGCTAAAAAAAAAGAAAAAAAGAAAAAAAAGAAATGTGTGGTTCTGATTTAAAAGGCCTTGCACATGAGTTGTGCCTTGTGTAGTGGCACCAATTGCAAAATACTGTCAAGAGTCGCTGAAATTGACGTTGCATTTATTTTTGCAACAGAATCTTCCTTTTCAGTGTTTCTTTCCTGTTTGTTGCTCATGTTGTTGTGCACATGTGGTGCCTGCATGTCAACAAACTTTATTTCTTTGAAATTAGGTTTTAAAAAAACTCTGTGTATCCAAGGACCCGTGAATCAAAGTAAATTAAAATCTATCAGATGATTTACTCTTGCAGATTAGTCATGGAAAATGAAAACTGGGCGAGTTTTCTTATTGTGTCAAGCAGCAAAAAAATTGTAACATGATCGGTTTGAGTGTCTTCATATGGCACTTTCTACGATTTGAAAACTGCACATGCACACATCGCAAAGTTGAATGTTGAAACGCTACATTGTGTAACTGTTATCAATAAAATATGTCCAGTAATATCTTTGTACAAACACAATTTCTATATTAGCTGAAATGAAAAGATTTGATGATTTCAGAGCAGAAACTGGGGTCACCACACTGAATGAAGTGGACTGCACATTGCTTTATACATGTGTCTTCAACACTTTCATCCATCAGTTGCAAACATGTACAGTATGTGGCCAACAGCCTCCCATTATCCTGCCTGAACAGCTATTACGAACACTGGGTTTCTTGTTCTTTCTGTCCTGTGCTGTACAGGGCCAGCGGTGTTCAGCATTTACCTGCCAACGAGGCGGAACCAGGGGAAGCGATCATAAAAGGGGTCGCCTCCTGTCATCACATTTTCACAGTCCTCAGTGGTATTGTTTGGAACATCAGCAGCCCGATCGTACATCTCTCGCATGAGATCAAGCCTCTGCCTGCAGAGAGCAGCAACAATTGTCACATTAAGACATTAGACAAAGAAGACTCACAGCATGGAGTTAATAAGAAATGTTATTACAGTGAATAGTGTGCTTTCTGTTAAGATTTATAACTGAGATAGACTCTGAAAATATCACTCTTTTTTACTACTACTCTACATCAGATGCTGGCAGACATTTTTATTTGGTACTGCAATTATTTAAGAGAATGCTTCTAATTAAACAAAATGACTTACAAGCTACAGAGCAAACCGCAAGAGTTTTATAGCCTTTTAACTAAATGTTAAATTGAAAGAATATGGAAAAGCTACATGGATGGTGATATATTAGCAATATATTAGTTCAAGATTTCTTTGGTGCATGTTGAGCTACCTTAGTTTTTCTAATGTCCAATAGTGAGTGGCTCCATTCTTCTGATCTTGCACCTCTACAGCCACGATGGTGCGTGGAAAATGTCGTTTCTCTCTGTCTTTAGTTGCCTCAGGTGGCAGCAGATCAGGAGGCAGGGGGGAGTAGAGGGTGTCTGTCAGCAACACAAACTGGAACTGGACCTGCAGAATCAACAGTGCGGTCAAACAGCTGTACTATGACATAAATCTGAGGATACACTGATGTAGCATAAACGACAGTAGCATATCGGACCTTCTTCTTGAGTTCAACGCTGATGGCGTTAGCCTCCTTAAGGAAAATGGCGTTTCCCCATAAAAGGTCACGGAGTGACGTGAACTGGTAGCACCTCCACTTACGGAAGCTCCACACAGCGAGCTCACGTTCCCTCTCTGTCCACTGTACTGTAGATCAAAACGATAAAAGATCTTTAGCCGGTGAAAATGTGTTTCCTGCAAACACAGATACTGTATGTATATATACTGTGCTCTACCTTCCTCTTCTGGCTCCTCCTCTTCTTCAGCCACTTCTGGGTAATAACGGTCCACTTGTTTCTGAAGAGCCTCTAGCTTGCTCTCATAATCCTGGACAATTGATTATTGAAGACCAATGACAAGACTTTTGGTTTTAGCACATTAACAAGCCATTTAGAATAATGTTGGTGAGTAATCCATCCATCCATTATCTATACACTGCTTAATCCTCACTGGGGTCATGGGGGCGCTGGGACACCCTGGACAGGTCGCCAGTCTATCGCAGGGCTACGCTTAGAGACAGACAATCATGCACACTCACATTCACACCTACGGACAATTTAGAATCACCAATTAACCCCTACATGTTTTTGGACCCTGTGGGAGGAAGCCGGAGAACCCGGAGAGAACCCACGCTGCACAGGGAGAACATGCAAACTCCACACAGAAAGATTCCGGTGCCCCCACTGGGACGCGAACTGGCGACCTTCTTGCTGCGAGGCAACAGTGCTACCAACTGTGCCACCTTGCAACCCTTGGTGAGTAATCTATCCACTCAAATGAAAGAATGAAGTAAATATTGGATATTAAGCATCGGAAAGGGCTGATGAAAAGAAGCAAAGCCACTTAGGCATTATCTGTAACATTACTCAATGATCATACTGTATACAAATTCTACATATTAAGATTGTATTAAAGATGGGCTGCAAGGTGGCACAGTTGGTAGCACTGTTGCCTCGAAGCAAGAAGGTCGCCGGTTCGTGTCCCGGTGGGGGCATCGAGATCTTTCTGCGTGGAGTTTGCATGTTCTCCCTGTGCAGCGTGGGTTCTCCCCGGGTTCTCTGGCTTCCTCCCACACAGTCCAAAAACATGTTGAGTTCAATTGGTGATTCTAAATTGTCCGTAGGTGTGAATGTGAGTGTGCTTGGTTGTCTGTCTCTAAGTGTAGCCCTGCGATAGACTGGCGACCTGTCCAGGGTGTCCCCTGCCTTTGCCCGAAGTCAGCTGGGATAGGCTCCAGCCCCCCACGACCTTAGTGAGGATTAAGCGGTGTATAGATAATGGACGGATGTATTAAAGCTCTTGTGAACAGATATATGAACACTAGTTACAATGTGTAACAAAAAAAAAACTCTATACAGCTTTGAATCAGTGGTGGAACTTAATCAAGTACATTTGCCTAAACTCAAATACAAATTTGAGATACTTTTACTTTACTTAACTCTTTCCTTTTCATAATACTTTCTAGTTCCACTCCTTTATCTCTAGAAGAAAACACTGTATTCTTTGCTCCACTACAGTCACCCAACAGTTTTAGCTACTTTACAAATTAAGACTTTTGTAAACCAACCATATGCAGAGCTCTAAAGTATGATATTTTGTAATTAATTACACAACCTAATGTTTTTATACATGCACAGCTGAAAGATTAGTCAATTCAACAATATGCTGGTTTTCCTTTCAGTTATTTAAAAAAACCCAAATATTTTTTTACGTTTTCAAGTTTGGACTGTTGTGAATATGTCACTTTGAAATCTGGGTAATTGTGTCAGTATTTCTCACTATTTTCTAAATTTTCATAAATCAAACAATCAATGGATTGAGGGAGAAAATAGTTTACAGATCATTACTTGCTGACAAGCACAAAATAGTTCTAGCTCCAGCTCAACCAAATGCAACAGTAAAACCCACTTTTAAATGAATGCATAAAAAATAATTATCAAATAGTGTAACATTTAATAGTTTACCAGTCACAAGGAACATTTTTCTGTATTTTTTCTGCTTATGCATTTAAAGGCAGGATTTGTACTTGTAACTGAGTAAATTTACAGTGTGGTATTATTACTCTCTCCATCACTGCTGTGTATAACTTAGTTTGTAATTTAGTTTATAGGGTGGTTAGATTTGTTATTCTTCAGTGATTAATATTAACACCATTCAAAGCTTAACGATGAGCTAACACTAGCAAAACCGTCATTACTGTACCAGTCGTTGTTGCTCCAGAAGATTGTTGGCCTCCTCTCTTTCTTTACGATACTGATCCTCCAACTCTTGCAGCCTAAGAAAAAACACAAACTTCAAGCAGCTGATTACCAAACTCAAAGAAAACACTATTTTTATTTTTGCACCAGAATTTGAAAGTTTCGGAAACAGCACACAATTTGTTGAGCCACTGAGTGCACTTATATAGCGCTTTTCTACCTTAGCGGCACTCAAAGCGCTTTACAATGTTTTCTCATTCACCCATTCACACACACCAATGGCGACAGAGCTGCCATGCGCTAGCCTGCCATTGGGAGCAGCTTCGGGTTCAGTGTCTTGTCCAAGGACACCTCAACTGCGGAGGGAGCGGGGATCGAACCGCCAACCTTACAATCAGAGGACAACCACTCTACCACAGCTCTACTCTCCTATTGTTCTTCACAATTTCTCCCCTCACTGCCTTTTCTGCTGCTGTTTTTTCTCTGATCTGGGGTGACTGGCTGACTATTTCTCAGAAGTACCTCTGCTCCATTTCCTGCTTCATGTCAATGCCCTGTTTCTCCAGTAGCTCCCTCTGAGCGAAAGCCCAGTCCACAGGCTCAGCAGGGGTCTCAGCACAGGGGGTCCTCTCCCTCTCAGCTCTGGCTTGAACAGGGTGGTTGAACCGGAACACGTGGCTCTTTCCCAGGATTATTCGATTTCCTGCAAGGGTATCACAAAATGTATAAGCTAAATCTATGCATATGAAGTGCACATAAATGTCAGCAGAGTGGAAGACAAGGTGACCTGACCTGATTTGAGAACAGTGGGTTCTGCCACTAACTTTCCATTTACGTAAGTCTCAGCTCCTTCACAGGGCTCGAGGACGACTGCTGCTTAGGAACAGAGAATCCAATATGAGGCTTCACTGTCTGTAATAATATTATAGTTACAATGTGCATAGCTACATGCCTGTGGAGCAAAATAAAGGCTGCTCACTTTCTCCTGTTGGACCAGTAGAGCTGGTAAAGGTGCAGTGCTCATCCTTTATGAAGTGGCCACTGAGGACTATATCCTGACGACTGCTTGCATCCAAACGACCAACCCTACAAAACATAAAAGGTGACAATATGAGAGCAAGCAAATAACACAGCTCATCTATACACCATTTGCTCCTTTTCCTCCATCTTCTAGAGCTGCAGTGTTCAGGTAGACTGGTTGATTGATCAATATGCTCTTATCACATCAAATTTCAAAGGTTGGACTATTACCGGTGTTACTTTCACAAGGAGAAAGGTGCTAAATTCAACAATATACCAGGAGTAAACCATTACATTTGGCAGCAGGAGGAACAAACCACCTGTGAAGAACCCCTCCAGTGAAAATCAAGTTTTTTCTTAACATGTCCATATGGTGTTTTTCACATGCTAGAAGACACATTGTGAGTAAAATAAACAGTCAACACCATGGCTGAGCATTTAAACCATCAACCTGCAGTCTACTAATAACAGTCTCAAAAGCATGGACTCACATGCTTCAAATGATTTAATATGCTACAAGTATTTACCTTTTTTCAAATGCTGATTTTATAATTAATTTAGGCAAATGAGGCTAGTGGGTAGCAGTAGCTAAGTTCAACACAGAGCTGCAAAAATCAGTTTATTAATGGATTACTTTTCAACTATTAAATTAATTGCAAAATACTGTAATACCCAATTCATTGGTTTAAGAAAAAAAAAAAAAAAAAGATAATAATTCTTTGATTCCAGCTTCTTATATGTGAATACTTTCAGTTTTCTTTCCTACTCCATGACAGTAAATTGAATATCTTTGAGTTGTGGACAAAACAAGACAATTGAAGATGTCATACAGTGATTAACATCTTTTTTCTGACATTTTATAGACCAAACAACTAATATATTAAGCGAGAAAATAATTGAAAATAATTCCTCATCAATTAAAATTATTATTAGTTGATGCCCAATTGCACTGTGGTCCACTTAGATATTCTACAGAAAACTGCAGATATCAATTTGGTTAAAGTGTTGGTATGATTTCATTCCACCAACATTTTCATAGGATGACTACAGCAGTATTTTTATTTTCTTTAGGCATTGCTTGACGTTACACAGTAAAATGTCAACATCTAACCTGGTGATTCCATCTTTGATGTAGTATAGCAGGCACTCAGACATCAGAGGATCTTCATTGAGGTTCACCAAATGAGGCGTCTGACACAGAATGAGGAATAATTTACTGACTGTAAACATTTGGTGAGCAACACACATAAATCATTCAGTATCCATATGTTACTTACAGTCTAACATATGCATATTGTACTCATCAGAGGACTGACAGACACTCTCTCGCAGGAAGAAACATCAAACAATCAACTATAGTTAAAACCATGCAGTGAAATTTACTCCCCACAGCTTCCCAGCACGAGTGTTTAATCTAGTCTTAGTCAGATGTTGCAGAGCTGCAGGCAAACAGCCAAAAATCACTGAAATGGGGGCACTGCAATTATCTTCTCCCCCATGTTTACACCCGTTGCTGCCTTCAGCACAGTGAGGGAGTGTTTGAAGTGAGTAATGAAGCAGATTTAGGATTAATAAAAAAGAGAAACCCTCATCTGATCGGCCTTGGCAGGGCTCCTGTTGAAGTGAGACTCAGAGCACTCAGAGGAGACAGATTTAAACACTTCAGAGCCACAAACCTCGTTGGGGGAAAACAGCCCGACTGTGTCGATAAACACAGGTTGGGGCTTTCTAGGGCTATCGGAGGGCTTTGGGGTAAACAAATGAGCATTTCAGAGAAAGATTTACATAATAAGTACCAGATCACAGTTTTGTTGATGTATAATTTTTTTTTACCTTCTTAGGAGAGAACACACCAACTGTGCCGCCATCTTCTCGCATCGCTACACCCATTTCTGCCAACAAGGCCTCTCTGTGGAGGGAAAGCAGACTCAGTACACCAAGTGTGATGTGTTTGTATATCAGTATGCTTTACTTAACAGTGCAGTTTTAATGAAAAGACAGAACAATACTGTATTTTGCCTTTAGGTCAACTGCACAAATGATTACTATAATCCTCTTTACTTAAGTAAATCCTCAGCCTTAGGTCAAACATGTTTCTCTTGCAAAGATTTCTGCACCACGTAGCGTTAAGAAAAATCCTTTTATAGATCAAGAGGACAGGGTTAAGCATTCAGCATACAAATAAGATTCCAAATAATCTTCAATAACAGACATGTCTTGTTTCTTGCGAGATTTGATTTATGCGTGTCTGTTATAAGCCTCCTGTTTCTCTGTGTTCATGAATTATTCTGAAGTCAAGTCAAGTCACTCTTGTTTATATAGCTAATTCAAAACAACACAACCAAAGTGCTTTTCAACAGAGAAATAAAATGTTCCACTTTTACTTGACTAATTTAAATATTGTCATTCTTCTTTTGGCTTTGGTCCAGATGCTTTTCTTAAAGTGAAGCTGAATCTAGGGATTTGCGATTTTACTAATTAAACAAAACAAACAAAGCTTATTCTTTATCTTACCTTTCCATCCTAATAGCTTCCGTTCTGCGAAGTTTCTCTTCCCAAGTCTCATTGAGTTCAGCAATGATTTTCTCTGTTTCCTGACATTTGAAAAAACAGCAGAAATTATAG